AGGGAGACAAAGGCGACCAGGTGTGGTGCTGGCCACCCACACCCTAATGTACCATGCCAGCCTTCTTTGGTGCTCACTCACAGCACTTGCCCCACAAACTGTTCGGCTATAAGCGGAACTTTGTCTTTCATATGTGTGTATATGTGGGGTGCGGTGGCACAGTGGTTAGTGCGTTGTACTACAAACAGAACAACCCGAGTTCAATTCCGGCTCACTAATAACAGTAACGAGTATTTGAACCGGTCCTGGGCCTCCCCTAGGTCGACTCAGGCTCAAATGAGTAGATACACCACTGGTGCGGTGCGTAAACTTCGCCACTAGGAAGACAAAGCTGCGCGTGGTTCTGGCCTCCCACCCCCTCCTGTGCTGTGCCGGCCTTCATAGGTACTCGCTAAACGGGAGACCTCTGTCTATATCTTTGGGTCATTCCATAACCCAGCTTAAATATACGCTGCCAAGCTTGGTGGTGTTCATTCAGATGCTGTCTTTCCGACAGACCTGTTCTTCACCTGAGGACGGCTGCTTGCGTTGTGGCCGAAACGTCGTGAGAATTGTATTTTATTATGTTTAATGTTTATTATTTTATTATTTCCCTTCTCCGTGACTTTACCGAAAGAACCAAGAAGATTAATCTCTGCAGTCACGAAAGCTTTAAATCGAAATTCATTCCATATACGTTTACCAACTACCTCCAGAATTGCCATCTCCTTTTCTCCTGGCTTTTAGTAAACTGGAAAGAGACCATATGCAATGCTACAGTTCTATAGGACTATTAATTTGGTCAGAATGACCAATCAAACACGACGGGTCAATCATATAAATAATTAAAATGCAAAAACAAATTAAGCGATGCTTCTGAAAGTTTTCCACAATATTTATCGATACGCTCACATCTAAAATTGCTTTTTTGAGAACACTGTTATCATTGCAGGTCCAGGAAAGTCGATTGTACCTTAGCGAGTGAATACATTCTGATTTAAAATATTTTTTCCAGTCCAGGTAATCACAGCTTCAATTATTTAGATTTTTTTAAACATTGTATGGACACATTTGCAAAGAGAGATTCAGTCATGAACCTTGAAGAAATATTCGGCAAAGTAGGGGCACCTAAAATTGGGGTCCGATGCCAACAGCTAAAGAATGACCATGAACAGATAACAGTAAACCGGTGATATTCAAGCCGATGAAACTGTAAAAATGGCATGTGGCCTATTTCTATAGAGCTTAAGCCTAGGACAAATGGAGAAAATAAACAGAGGTGGTGATACTTAAAGGTTGTTGATATCCAGATGGTCTTCCATTGATTGACCCTTATATATAATTTAACCTGGTTGCTTGGCAAACGAGGTTGTGACTTTTGTGCCGTCTGTATTTTTTATTTGCACCCAGCAGACCCAAGGGGTTTGTTGTGACCTCTATGACGAGTCATCTGAATTGCTGGCTTTCATCGAATTATCTCATATCAGCCACTTCTGACAGTGGAGCTAGATAATTAGTTAACAAATCAGAGAACAATAAAGAGGGCTCTAAACATGTTTTTGTGCTCCAACGTATAAGAATAACACAAATGATAAAACCTCAATTGATGGAGAACAAAGCAGGGTGGGTAAACCGGTTTAGCCATGTCGTGTGCTGTGTGGAGATGTGAATCCCCGAGTGCTTCTGAAGCCTCGTTCTCTGTACCCTGAGCTTTGTGTGCTCGTCACGGGTCGTGCTGGCAGGTGTGTGCGATGCAGGGCAGTGGCACAACAAGGCGGTGGTTAAACTGCACAGATGTCATGCTCGGGTGCGATGCGGGCAGTGCGTGTACATTTCTGCAAAGCCGGGCTTAGTGGCGCGCACTCTGCTGTAATTGGGGACCCTTTGGGACTCTCCCGGTGCCTGCGAGTATCTGCTTCTGGGGCCTCTCCTGGGACCGTTTCCATGGGCCAGCTCCTCCCTACACGGAGCCTTGGCTGCCCTGTTGGTAAACAAGCTGTCAGGGCCAGGCAAGCGAGTATTAATTTCTCGCACAAGAACAGCAGCGGATGCCGTGTCTGTGTAACGTCGCTGACTATCGGGCAGTCGGTCAGTAATCATTGTTTAACTAAGAGATTGAATTGAGCTATTGAGACACATGGAAGATTCAGGTTGAGGCCAAGTGATTTATTGCTCAAATTAACATTGAGGTTGAGCTCATCTCCTGTTTATAGCCCCGAGCCAGTTATAGGAAATTCCACATTCCTTTGACGGGGCGAGTATATCCATAGGAAAACCACCGTTGAGTACCACTTCCCCATGAAGTGGTATCTATTTTATCCACCCTGGAGGGAAGAATGATGGGCCAAGTCAACCCCCAACCAGGATATGAACTTGCAGTCTTCCAGTTGCGAGATGCTCATTGTACTGCTGACCCACCTGACCGGTTCGCACAATGTTAAGAAAACATTGTCAAGGTAATACATCGTCACAATGTGTATCAATAACTTAATACCATACTTGAATAAGGCTACGTACAGAAATTGAAGAATGTGAACATTCTTGAAACATTTTATGACACAAGAAATATCGTCGCTGGAAGCAGAACAGTGAGATCAGGGAAGAAGAGGCAATGGAGAATATTGAGCTATACAGGACAACAACCACGTGATTATTTTAACGTCTCTCACTGTTTGGAGATGTAAATGAACATACCGCTACGTGGCTGCGTCATTGAATGCTTTATTTTACTTGACCCCCACACGAATGAAGATAATTTATTGAACTGGATATTTGGTGGCAAATTTCGTTTTTGCTTTTGAATAAAAATACATAAAGTAATTGTGCTAGTTTAGATCTTCAGTTTTCGTGACTGCAATGTTCCATACTCTTTAGTGCTAATGTAGAAGGCGTTTGCTAAGCCTCAGAACGAGCACCACGGTTGACTGAGTGACAGTCTCCCCGTGTCTCTCTGAGTAACTTGCTGTCACTTGTGCATTATGTATTACACACAAATCTTGTGCAGGTCAGTGCTCTTCCCCTCCAGGACTGCTGTCACTACAGCTCAGCTCAGGGTGCTGGCACAGATTATTCACGAGGCTCTTTGGAAGTCTGCCATTTGCCATGTCCCTTCTGGCAGAGGTTGTTTCTTCTTGTTCACAGTATAACATTGCATTGTCTTCAGCGGTGGCTGGTGATATTTTAGCTAATTATTTACTGTACCATTTAATAACATACTGAATTTGAGCATTGCATTACATTCGTGTTTCGCAGAATTGATATGACTGACATTGCATCTTCTATTTTAAAGAAAATGCTCTGTGATTTACATTCTCTTCAACAGCGCTATTAATTATTTGTTGTTACCTGCTGGTGGAAGTACCCCTCATCGTCGCTGAGCGACGGCCTGGCCACAGCCCCAACATCCCCATCTCCCCTCCCCCGGGTGCCCCCTCCCCCCTCGCGCGTGACAACTCCCAAGTCGCCTTCTCCCGCACCCCGCACCAGCCGGCCCCCTCCTCGCGAACCCTTCCCTCGGCCTCACCGACCCGCAGGCCCCCCATGTATCCCACCTCCTGCATGCTCCCCATAGGGCCCCCGTGCCCCACGAAGCCCCTACTCTTGCACCGGGAACCTGCACACACCCCCTTCCATTCCAGTCCCAATGCTGGGGCCCTCCCTCTGATGCTGGGCTCCACACGCCTGACCAACCTGCGCTGGTCAAGGCGTGTTGTTTGGGCTCAAGCCAATCAGAATGCTGGGAAATGACTGACGGTCATTGTTTTCTTTTATAACATTCAGTTTTGATTAGAAGCATTCGTGACTGCAGGAATCCATACTCTTTGGTTCTTTCGGTAAAGTCACGTAGGTAGAAAATAACATAAATCACGACGTTTCGAGCGCGTCCGTCATCAGCTTGTGTCCGTCATCATCTGTTGCGCCTGAAACGTCGTAATTTCTTTTATTTTATACCTACGTGACTTTACCGAAACAACCAAAGAGCATATATTCAGGTTTGCATTACACTAAGACCCATATTTAACAGAGGGGGTCCTTCCTTATATAAATATCTGGCATTTCACCAGCATTGGTGTCACCAAGCCTGACTGTGCCGATGAGAGACTGAATATTAAATCCGATCCAGAGTTTGCTTCGATAAGCTAATGTCGCTGAAAAAAATGCACCTCCAGAAGCCTGTGTGGATGAAGGGATGTATTAAAGTTACATATTCATTTTGTTACTTATATTCTACGTAATGATGCTCGTTATTATTTTGCTCTATTTTATTTCTCGTAAGAGACTTGTATAATATTTTATAGAAAATGCACCATTAATAATATAATATGTAATCTCATAGGGATAGAAATGGGTCGTGGTACCGATTGTTATTCCTGTTAGTGCTTGTTCAAGTTTAAAACTCACCTTTCAAGTTACTTCTTTCGGCGACCTCCAATCCCTTCGTGTCAAGCTCCAGGCTTGCTTGGGAGTAAGGGTTTCTGGACATCTGCGAGAAAGAGCTTGATAGCTCGTCAGATTCCTCCACTCTCAATAAAGATTCTGATTCTGAAAGGACACACAGAGGTTTTTGGTCGCTCTGTCTCCTCGGGTTTTAGCTGAGAGTGGGTCCAGGGGCACTTAGCTATGACTGGTGGGAAATGTACAACATACTACAGATGATCCAACACTGGCAAATGCACTCCAGTCACTGTGCATTGTATAGCAGAAGTAATGGTCATTGAGAGTTAGAGCATTTATTACAGACAAGAAAACCAACCTTCTTTGATGCATCCTTACACAAATTCGTTACACAGCCATTCCTGTGGATGAGACGTGTGCCAAGCAGATGAATGGTTTTACTCTGGATAAGAATATATTTTTTATATATGATGACAGAAACTGTAGAATTGCCAGACTTACGTGATGTTATGATTGGCTGGCACTTGTATTTGGAAATGCTCGAGCTGGATCTGCCGATGATGAATGTGTCGATGAGCGTGACGGGTCTGACGGGTCTTCATGCACGGTGTCCGCTTGTGCCGCAGCCGGAGCGCCCACAAGTAGGCAGCGCGGCAGAAGAAGAGGATCGCTTGCTTTCCCCTGACGGTTCCCGCGAGTTCCTGACACTCCACATCCCCCTGCACGACATGGGCGCTGCGAGCCTTGGGGTCAGCGTCAAGGGGACCAAGGATCGCCGAACAAACGCGGATCTGGGCATTTTCATCAAGACCATCATCGCGGGAGGGGCAGCTGCCAAGGTGTGCCAGCATGCTGGCGCACAGCACGCTGGCGCACAGCCCGCTACAGCACGCTATGGCATGACATCAGTGCACAAACATAAATAAAGAAATTTTATTCTCTACCATTAGATTTAGGTTGTCTGTTCTTGCAACTTAAAATTAAGTTAAAATTAAGTTGCAAGAACATCAAATTACATTTAGGTTCTAGATTTGAAGCTTTCGTGACTGCAAGGATTCATACTCTTAGTTCTTTCTGTAAAGTCACGTAGGTAAAAAATGAAATTAAAATTAATAAAAATAAAACAATAAAAATCACGACGTTTCGGAGGCAACACAAGCTTCCGTCTTCAGGTGAAACCGTCACAGCAAAATATCTGTACCTTATATAGTGGCTAAGGGGGGAGGAGCCAGGAAGGGCAGCGGGGGAGGAGGAGTTGTGAAGTGGTCAATTACTGCTTTTGTTATACTGCTGGGTGGGTAAATGAATTAGATACGATTAAGCCGCTCTTTGTTATGCTGTTTGTGCGCAAGTCACTGTGGGATGAATGGACTCGTGGTCAGGGACGTGTTGCGCAAGTAACTGTGGATGTACATAATAGAAAAGGAGCGGAAATGCCCATGTTTATACCGGTGTTGGCTGACAATAAAGAGTACTGTAAAACGTTAGGGATGTTAACACCCGGTGAAGTAAAATAGTGCCTGTCAGATAAGATGGTCCAAAAATGTGTAATTAAATCTTTTTTTTTTGCATGGTTGATAACATCTTTCCAATGATTACTAAGTTTGTACCCATCATCACGGTTGAAATTATGTCTGTGTTTGTATATCTGAATGGCTTCGTGTACAAACCTTTGATGGTAGCCAGAAGGCTTTCAGAGCACCTTAGTCTCGGAGAAAACAATCTCATGAGAGCCCACCGAGTTGTAGCAATGATCGGCAACGGCGGACGACTCAATTTTGCCGTGTTTTAAATCTGACTTGTGCTCGCGGACACGATCAGAGACATGACGTTTCGTTTCCCCAATGTAACAGTCACCACAGCTGCAACTCAGTTTATAGACTCCAGGGTATTGCAAGTCAGGGATGACATCCTTCACAGATGGAATTAGATCACGGATTTTATGTACTGTACTGAATCGGACTTGGATCTTATGTTTGTTTAGAATTTTGGAGATCTTTTTGGTCACGCCTGCTATGTATGGTAACGTGACAGTTTTGATCGGAGTTTCAAGTGGCTGTTTTTGTATGGTGGGAGAAACAGCTTGGCGGATGGTGCGTTCAGAGTATCCGTTCACCCTGAGGGCCCGATGTACATGTCTCAATTCACTGGCCAGGTGGTGTTGGTCAGAAATGCCATGAGCTTTGTGGTATAGCGTTTTGATGAGAGAATTCTTTTGAGATGGGTGGTGGTGAGAATCCGGTTTCAAGTTGGAATCTGTGTGGGTGGCTTTCCTCTAAACAAAATGTCCCAAGGATCCGTCAGGTCTCCTCTCAAACAGAATATCTGAGAATGGTAGTTTGCCATCTTTCTCCACTTCCATGGTAAATCTGATGGATGGATGTCTGGAATTGATGTGGTCCACGAAGTGGTTCAATGCTGGGAGGCCATGTGGCCAAATGACGGAAGTGTCATCCACATAACGTTTAACAGTACTCTTTATTGTCAGCCAACACCGGTATAAACATGGGCATTTCCGCTCCTTTTCTATTATGTACATCCACAGTTACTTGCGCAACACGTCCCTGACCACGAGTCCATTCATCCCACAGTGACTTGCGCACAAACAGCATAACAAAGAGCGGCTTAATCGTATCTAATTCATTTACCCACCTAGCAGTATAACAAAAGCAGTAATTGACCACTTCACAACTCCTCCTCCCCCGCTGCCCTTCCTGGCTCCTCCCCCCTTAACCACTATATAAGGTACAGATATTTTGCTGTGACGGTTTCACCTGAAGACGGAAGCTTGTGTTGCCTCCGAAACGTCGTGATTTTTATTGTTTTATTTTTATTAATTTTAATTTCATTTTTTACCTACGTGACTTTACCGAAAGAACTAAGAGTATACATTTAGGTTGTCTGTAAATAGACAAAGGCAGCATGGTGGTGCAGTAATAACTCTCGTGCCTCAGAGTGTGAAGAACCGGGGTTCGATTCCTGACTCGGGGACTTTTCAGTGCACGGGTTTCCTCTGGGTCCTCCATTTTGTATATATTTTTAACTTTTGCACCGTATGTAGCTAACCGTGCTAATCGGAGTTACCTCCTACAGTTAATAATCCACCACACTGTCATTGGTGTTGGCCAAATATCCCAATGTAGCAGGATCCGCCTGAATAACCGTCTTCGGACTCAGCGTGGCTTTCTTATGTAAATGAATATATGCTGTTGTTGGTACAGCACATTGCTTTTTATGGCACACTAATTAGGCTCCAGATTCCACCAGAAAAATGTGCTGCTTTATAAGACAGTTGTGGCGCAGGCGTTGGCACTGACTTGTGTGTGTGGCTGTCATTTAGGATGGGCGCCTGCGTGTGGACGATCAGCTGATCGCCGTGAACCGCGAGTCGCTGCTCGGTCGGTCCAACCTGGAGGCCATGGAGTCTCTGAGGTGCGCCATGTCCCGCGATGCCGGCGACCCCTCGCTCATCCAGCTCGTGGTGGCGCGCTCGTTCGGCAAGCCAGGACCGGTGAGCGGGGGCTCCTGCAGGAGATGCGGGCATGGAGATCAAAGGAAAAATATAACAACAACCTCGGATTTTCATCCTGCTATTGCTATTCTCATGATTACTGTTTCCGTGAACTTCACTCGTGAACACATTGGACAATCACAACTTGTTTTAGATCCATTATGGTCATCCTCGTGGCAGCTTTGGCTAGGCATCGAACAAAGACGGTCAATGCATCGCGCACTTTCAGATGCGCTTCTGCAGCCGTCTGGAACGCTCTTCCAATATTAGGAAGCCACTGGAGTGAAGCACTTTAAAATCATCTCGATTGAAAACTCATTTATTTAGAACTGCTTTTTGTGTTTCATTTGTTGTCCTTTCCCCCGCACCTCTGATTAGCTCAAACATGCATGCATAGATATTCCACAAGGCACCGCTCTCCACGGCTTAGACTCATCTCATTACGCATTGCCTCTCGTGTGGCCCTGTAGACGGAGGCGGAGTCACGCGCGCCTGGGTCAGCGGGGAACACGGCGGAGGTTAACGAGCGCCGAGTGTCGGCCACGCAGAGCCCCGTGGCGGCTCCTGACCAGGGGCCCGTCGACAAGTCTGCTAAGCCGGCGAGCACAGGTCCAAGCACAGCGGGCACATGCACAGCAGGCACAAGCGCAGTAGGCACAGCTGACTCCTCTGTGCTCCAGCAGACAGCGCACACAGCCAGAAGTACAGATCTGCTTTGGCTGCCTCCCACGCGACAAGGGACAGTTTGCAATAAAACGAGTAATTCACTTGGAGTGAACCATGCACAATGCAATCAGAGGTGAAGGTAAAGGTGCAGCCACGCATTTGCTGGCTCACACCACGACTGGCAAAAGGGCCTTCACTAGAGTGAGCTCTCGAGAGCCCCTCTAGAGGGTATCTTGTAAACTCTTTCATGCTTACTGGATGTGTTAGTGTACCCACACTTTACTCCATTACACACAGCCTGCCCATTTTCTGTGCTGTACCCATTCATGGTGCTGGGTGTTAAAAAAGGTAGTAGGGTGGATTTAAGAAATCTTTATCAGTTTCAACTGCCACGCCAGGGGATGGGTCCGAACTGGTGACCTATGGATTGCCAGTCCAGTGTACTAACCATTACACCACGGCAGCTGCCCGACAATGGAGTTGTCTTAACCAAATTAATCCTGGGCACCAGATGAATTGCTCTTTTCTTGACGGGTGACAGGGGCCTGGCAAGGCACAACTGAACGGGATGACTCGGCTGGCCAGGAGAGGAAGGCACCGCAGGCCCGGAGCGACCCCTGGGAGCCGGGCACCAGCAGCACGCAGGGGTGAGATGGCACAAGTGTGTACAATGCTAGGTGCTGTTAGTCTGCACGCTCGCACACATTGCAGGTTCAGCCTGAACATAGGTGGACTTGGTCTGAGAGAAAACGTGAGTTAATTAGTCACTGAGAAGTTTCCCTGCTTGGTGATTGCGTGATCGTTCAAATTAAAGTGTTTTTGTTGTTGTATTTAATGAAGGAGCTGTCTCCGCAGGCAACTGGACCCAGCGCTGGCCTTTCAGCGGGAGGGATTTGGCCGACAGAGCGTATCAGAGAAACGCACCGTGCAGTATGGAGACCCCAGCCACCTGGAGGTGCTCAAGGCACGCAAGTCCAAGAGCATGGACATGAGTGAGTGTTTGGGCGTTTAACTGCACAATTCTGGACAGCCCACAGCATAGTGTGGGCATGCCCATCTACCTATTCTGGGTTCAGTGTTGGCATTCATTTATGTAGCTTAATGTGCCAATACCTTGTCCCGTATACACACATATCTGGAAAATAAGTAATACAACATATTCCAAGTCAGTGTGATACAGGACTGTCTTTCCATTCCAGGTTGAAGCGCAGGGTTTTGTGCAGGTAATGATGTCGAATTGGGGAATGCTCCATTCCTTTCTGCAGAGTGCATGCATTTTATTGGTGTTAGCAGAGCAACAAGCAAAGATGAGGGCAGACAGACTATTTTTTTTTTAATCTGGTGTAATTGCCTCTTGGAATGACTGTTTTTATAGTGCACTTTCAGCTATGATTTGAACAAGTATAAAGTGCTGCCACACCAAGCCATCTCCTAGCAGCCACAGTGCCAGCAGGGCCCGCTCTCTAAAACGCTGTCATCAGAGTCATCCCAAGCTGCCACAATTGTCACTTCTGGGTTGAAGTGATCTGTCGACTCTGCCCCCTGGGGCGATGTCATATCGGAGAGGATTGCACTCTTGTTGGCCCTAAACTGAAAACACTCGTAACCACCCAGCATGCATTTGTGTCACGTCACTGCAAGCCTTGCACTGGGTGCAAGGCATGTCGCGGCTCATGAACACACCCAGATAACAGCGGCCAAAATTGATTGTCGCACCATGAAGCGAGCTTGAATTTAAGTGACCCCTTTTCGTATTTGCTGAAATTTGGTGTTGACCAAACATGACATTATAGGACTACAGAGCTTGGCCAATTATTGGCACCAGGTCTGACTGCTGTCCCACTTGACTGGTTTCCCTCGCTTCTGAATCATTATCTCTCTCTTTAAGAGTGAGTGAAAACTCATCTTACAATATTAAAAGATACTACTGTACCCTGAAGGAGGTTGTCTCAATGTTACGTGGACTACTCCGCTCTTCTTATTTTCTGTATCACTGGTTTATTAAACTGTCTTTGTGAATCCTAACTCAAAACGGCTTAGGGCCTTTAGTTTATGATCCAAACAGCGGACATCGTGAACACATTAATAGAGCTTGTTGTACTTTTCCTTGCATGATTAGTGTATGTAACACTATATTTGCATGTCTAGTTGGCTCTATATAATGCTAGCCGTGGTTTTCGTACTCGTGCTACTGCTGTGATTCTAATGAACATACACAGCATGTGTCTTGAAACTGTAAGAATATTTCCCTTTTGTCAAACGTGGGCACTGAATCTGAACAGAGAAATTCTTCTTTGTAGTAACTGAAATGCGGTGGAAATTACTAAACGTTTCTCTATCAGTAAACTTGGATATTTAACATGTTTTAAAGATTACATGCCCAGTAATAAATCGTGTGCAGTTGAACTATTGAATACATAACACAAACTAACCATAATCGTCATTGTGGAGAATGTAACTCACAAAATAAATGAGCAGACAATTTGCCTCCTTCCCATATCGGTCCCTCCATATAAGAATGTAAAGTATTTTTTACAATTATGCACTCCCAGAATGCCGTGCGGTTCACTGGATGCATACGACATACGTTTTTATTTCTTGTGGAGGGACAGATACGTGAAGGAGGTGGATTGTCTGCTTGTTCATTGCGGACACGTTGTGATTTTGTTCTCTTTCCTAAAGCCAATGTCATGATGACCCCTCACTTGAAATCGTCGGAGCGATATGCAGGTGTCTGTGCAGAATGGCTCTACTTACTCGACTAACCCACCTGCTCGCCCCCTACCCCCGCAGTCGCAGACGAAGGTAGCGTGCATGCGTCTGCTGAAACACGCAAAGGTGAGGCAATGGCTGGTAGTTTACTTGTAGATGCCGCAAGCCCTTTGCTGATTGCCTGCCCATTCACCCGCATAGTGCTGAAGTGTGGGCTTAGCGGCGTGCGATTCGTGGTGATTCTGATTGAATTTACCACTCGTTGCTTTGCATCCGTCAGTGCATGTATGTACGTATGAATGGATAACACACACCCCATGCCTAGAGTGGGCTCCCTGCATTCTTCAAGCTTGTGATTTTGTGTCTATCTTTACATGGTGGGTTTTTTCGTGAGTGACATGTATTGTCTATTTTTTTCTTTCTTTTCATTTTGAAGCAATATTTTTTACTTCGGCATGATGAGTACTCTATGGATTATTGTGGAAAGCATTCTCCTCCAGTTATTATCTCGCCTGCTCTTAAGCCTTCAGGCACTGTGAGCCTACACACAAATGCAGTTTGCTGTAGCGGAGATCTCGCCACACGACCAAACGAGAGGCATGCGCATCTGCGGTGGAATACAGACTCTTACCAAGAATGCTTTGGCCTTACAAAATAATTTCTTACAAGATTGTTCCATGGTGTAATGGTCAGGTGGCCAGTCCGATTGCTTCTCAGCACAGCGGTTAAAACAATGGAGTCAGTTTCTCAAATCCTCCCCTCACTGTTGCCCACCCAGCAGTGTCAATGGGTCCACCCCAGTCAGTTGATCTGCAGATCGTCTGTGGTGGGGTAAATTGTGGGTACACCCACTTCTTCAAATATGCCTGGTCAACGTGGAAGAGTAGACCAAATACCCTCAGAAGTTTGCTCGAGCGGAGGCCCTTCTGGCATCGGTGGCATAATCAAGAAATTCCAGTGCCGCCGCACATTTACCTCGACCTCTTCACAGTACCAATACAATAGGCCAGTTTCAGCGAGGAGTGGTGTTCGTGAAAAGTCTGAGTTAAAGCTTGTAAACATCTCTGTAGGAGCATGCTTATCCTGTATGTGCGCTGCTGCTGACAGACACGCTCATTTATTTAGTGCATTAGGGCTCTTTGCAGGGGATGTTCGTCGGGGTGTGGCGAAGCGTGAAGGAATCCTCGGGTTTTGTAGGTCTCCATAAAAAAAACATTTTCCTGTAAAATCCCAGCGAGGGTTCAGCAACTGGTCACTCGGCAGAAGAATCGCAATGACAGTGCCCGTGTCTGCTCAAGGGGAAGAAGTGGAGCACCTCGATGGTCTTCTGCTCTCCAGGTCGTTCTGTGAAAGTTGTTGAAAATTATAAGTGTGGTTCACTTTACTTCACTTGATGTGGGTTGCAGTCCCAGCAAAAGCTGCTGAGTCACAGTTTTTTTTAGGCCAAATCATGTTAAATCCATGTTTATTTTTCTATAACATTATTTTGCTGTGAATGGCTTTTAAAATTAACTTGACCTTGCCAACTTGCATTACAGGAAATATATTTATATTGGCTCATATTTGTGTTTTCAATTTCTTCTGTAAAATGTATTTGTGCTGATTTACATTGGCTTATTTTTGCTCTAATTTTTATTTGGCTGTTTTTGCTCCGAATTTTATTCGGTTATTTTTGCTCTGATTTCTATTACATAATTTCTTTGCTGTGCTTTTGTAATTTTGTTGACCCAGGTCACTCTTGCAAAGGAGACTCCTGTCCTTTTCTTTTGACTTTACACCTGGTTAAACAAAATACACTAGAAACTTGTCTTTATCCACAGTATAAGAGCCACGTTATGCATGCCGGTGTGCACGGTTCACGGATGCGACCAAGCCAAGCCTCGAGTTGCCACTACTGCCGTGTCTTCGTGCGCCCGTGGGCTCTACAGGTCCCTCAGACGGCTCCGTTGGGCCTGCCTTGGGCCTCAAGATGAGCAGCTCGCTGGAGAGTCTGCAGACAGCTGTGGCCGCGGAGGGTGGCCGCGCTGAGTTCCTCTTCCACCGGCCGCGCCCCCCCCGTCTCATCCGCGGCCGTGGCTGCAACGCGAGCTTCCGTGCGGCCATCGACAAGTCGTATGACATGCCCCAGGATGGCAGCGACGATGACGATGATGAGGATGACGAGGAGGAGGAGGATGCAATGGACACTGGTACTTTGGCAGAAAATATTCGACAACTCTAAATAGGGCGCCCAGTTTATTGTTATGTTCATACCAAATTCCTTGAACTATTGTAACGATTTACCCACATGTGTTTCATTAACGTTGTAAGTAACCGTACAACATGTCGCACCCGAGTGACAGGAGAAACTGTTTATTGTGTTTATTAAGCCGGCGAGAACTCAAGAGACCAGCATGGTCCATTTGCAACAATGACCTGGGTCACCAAAATGACAGACACAAGAACGTAGACACTTGTACAGCAATGGAGCAAATAGATATCAAATCAAGAACAACTGCATTAAAGAAACTCGAAAATGCTGCATAAACTTAAATCAATATGAAATTTAAGTATTTTTTCTGAAATGAAAGTTGACTAGAAAAATGTACATTTAGAAACTTCCAAGTAAAATTAAGTTACAGAAATATAAGAAATGGATTTGGAGTGATTGTCACCACAGCGTGTAAACAGACAAGATTATATTACAATACCAAATAGACACCTATTGCAAGACATCAACTCTGCATTAACCACACATGCTTGTGGTAAAATATGCAAACAAAGTTGCTCTAATAATATATGCATTGTCTTTGAAACTGATTGGCCTACACCAAAGACAGCCTTCTTTATTGTCTTGTCCCACCAGTGTTCGACCAGAGAACACCGAGGGGCGAACATTTACAGCAGCCCAAGCTATGCATTCATAGCTTGGGCTGCCAGAAATGTTAAAGCCTATTCTTCTTTTCATCAGTTTTATACTGGCAAAAAGGTCCCATAGATAGACAACAATATATGTCTAATACAATTGCAAGTGAAGTTATCAAACTTTACACTGTAGTTCTTTTCTGTGTGTGTCCTGGCAAGTACTCGGGTTTCCTCATTGACTTTCAGTAACTGTAGGCGATGTGTACATTTATGAAATGTGGACCGTGGTACTAGCGTACACGCATCACAGTATGTGTCTCATATGTTCTCTGTGACATGTTCATCCTACCCTTCAGAAAGTCTGAGCCAAGGTTGGATTTCAAAAAGTCAAATCCTTACAGTCTGCCTCATTAGCAAGCATACAGCACAGCTACACTGCCATATTTTATTATTTATTTGGCCAAGTTGTTCATTATTGTATTGTATGTAGAGGTGACACTTGGTTTTTATAATCTGGCACACTCCGAAGTAAACATGTTGATGATCAGTAACTGACTGCCTGTGGTTCGGAGTACATTGGGAGGAATGGTAACTTCCTGCAAATTCTCAGTGGAGGAAGAGGAGGAGGACCCGGAGGAGGCAGCCAAGGGCCTGGGAGATGGCGTCCCTGGGGCCCCCACCGGTCTTCCTGTCCCAAGCGGTAGCGCCAAGACCAAGCGCAGCTCTCCCAGGAGCAAAGACGCAACTCTGGAGTCTGGCGCAGCTGGCGACAAGGAGTGCAAGAAAGATAAGAAAGCCAAGAAGCTAAAGAGCCTTGGCATGGTGTTCAGGTAAGATCAAGATCATGACCAGAGCTGGCAATGCCACTGCACCTCACCAACACTTTCTACCCTCCGCCAGATCCTGCAGCTGCTGTCAAGGAGACACACAACCTCCGAGGTCTGCTCTCCACGGTCTCCCACTATCTGCTCTTCAGACTTCCCTTTGGTTGCTATACTTGTGGAGACCACTCCAAAGCCTGTCTTGGCAATCGGCCCTCACCCAACTTGCCGAATCATATCTGACACCCTCATTTGCTGTGTTCTCTTCTGGACTTCTGCATTACTCATCTTGTCTTGCCAAGAAATTCCCTGTGTCCAACTTAAACACCTGTGCTCAAATGCAGCAACTTCATTTTGAGCTGCTTAAGATCAAGCTCTGTGATCTATACAGTGATATTTTAAGTTATCAGGTTAATGGCTGAATGTAGTTCATTCCATGTTCAAAAACAGGTACATTGTCATAAATGTTGAGTGCATTGTAATGAATTGATGATTACAGACAAAGCAAATTTATGATTCCAGTCAAGTCACATTATATGCGCATGCACAAAGCTGGTGAAATTCTCTTCGTGGTGAATTCGATGCTTTTGAATATTGTTTGTTTAAGTGGATCTGGTCAAAAGATAAAGAGGTTGGAGATGTCTTCCTAAAGACGTGCACTTGCCTAGGTTTGGAAAAGTGAAGAAAGAGGACAGGAGTGAGCAGAAGAGTGGGGACAAGCAGAAGGTGGTGGATAACAAGGCGGCCACAGAGGAGGAGAAGGAGAAGATGAGGGACGAGCAAGAGAGGTGTGTGTGTGTGAGTGTACGTGTGTGTGTGTGAGTGTACGTGTGTGTGTGTGAGTGTACGTGCGTGTGCGCCGCCAACACGCCCCGTCGCGCTTTAAGAGAAGTTGTCGAATCACTTCCTGAAGTTATCAAATGGCATGTGTCTTGAGTTTGAGAAACAACAAACAATGAAATGCAATAGTAGGTACGATCCTAATCACAACTCCCCCAGGAAGTTTTGTCCATCTTGATCAAATATATGAAAAGGGGAATGTGTCTTCAACAAAGTTGTGCTTTTCTTTCTGTTTCTTCACCTGCACTGCTCCACTGTGCAATTCCATCGTGTCTTTTGCCAAGCTATAATAACCGTGCTCTATTCACGAAACCTGTTGACTCTTACCCATTACAACTATAATAGTGCTGTTTGATGCTGGCTGCTTGTTGTTTTAGGCCTTTGGGCCCTGCACCCAGCATTAACGTTATTTCTAGGTGCCTTTTCCACAAGCATGAAGTGCAGCTTGTATCAGAAAACCCTTGAACTTAGCCTTGGTGTGTGTAACAAAATAAATAACAGCCTATTCGCCTCCCTTACACATTCCATCAGTCACACGGCCTTCTGAGAGTGCATAATTTCAGAGCATGGGTTCAGTACAAGCCACCTCTGGACCGGTATTGACATTCAGTGTCACCAGTCAGGCTCACTTGAACTAGTGCTGTTGAACTGCCAGGTGTTTATAGGGGAGGAACTTCTCTGTTATATCTGGGTCCTTGTGTGAGTGAACGCTCCTGACATCTACGTGATGCGTGCACCATTGATCCGGCGTGGGCGAGCGCAGGATCCAGACAAAGCACAGGGAGATTCGCGAGCGGCAGGCTCGCGAGCTGAAGCTGCAGCAGGAGCGCGAGCAGCTCGCCGCTCAGTCCCGCGGGACGTCCGGCTACTACGAGGAGCACAACCCGGCCTACGCCAGCCTGGGCACCTCCACGTCACCGCCTGCTTTGCACAAACCACCCTACGTGAAGAACAACACCAAGGCCTACGCCAGCGAGGACGAGATCCGAGCCATGTACGCCAAAGTGAACAAGGCGGGTAGCCTGCCGAAGCCTGTCCCCCAGTCAGAAAGGTCAGTGTTGAGTTTCTTTTGTTTGACCCGGTGACAACTCAAGGGGCGAGGATGAGTCTCGTTTGCAAAAGTGACCTGAAATGACAAAAGCAAAAATATTCACAATGATGGAGCAAATATGAATCCGAGCTAAAAAAACATGTTCCAGGTGACATTTAAAACAGTGCCTGAACATAAATCAACATGAAATAACAAACTTGTCTTATAACAAAAGTTGGCTAAGAAATTATTTTAGATATAAACATGAAAATGGATTCAGGGAGATTTTCGCATTCATATGTCAGCAGTTGTTAAAAGTGTCATTTTCAGTTTCACTTCTCCAATGCATTTCAACGGTGAAAATATAAGAGACCTGTAATGTATGTAATCTTCACCTGTAATGGTGAGTTTGACCGGGATTTTCGTGGTGGGGTTTTTGTTTCTCTGCCAGAATGCAGGCAGGGGGTCGTGTGAACTCCTACTACGAGGAATGCAACCCGATATACGGCCGGACGCGGGACGGGGTGCCCAGGCACCCCCAGGCCAGTGGTGGGGGCCCACGCTACCACCGCGGGGAGGACGGGCAAGACGGCGACCCCGCGAGAGACATCTATGCCAGGGTGGCCAAAACCAGCAGCCTGCCCAGGCCTCAGCCCGACAGGTAGTGATAGCGCCACACCTTTTATTGAAGCGAGCAGCAATGGCGCTCACTGTTCGCTGGGGCAGGAAGCGTTGAGGAATGGCTCGCACAGTTGGCAACCTCGTGAAATTTACACGGTGATTTGGCTTTTAGAGCCGGCTAGGGTTGCCACCTTTTCTGCAGACCAAACCTGGACATGTTTTGCAGTCAAGCCTAGGCCTCTGAACACTGTGCAATGCACTGCTATCAAGTTCAACACAATACCTATACCAGATCTTGGTACAAATCAATTTCTGCCATCTGAATGCGAACTCAGGTTCCCAGACAGATGGCAACCCAAGAGCCACATTACCTTGTTCACGCAGGCGAAGGTAATGTTACGTCCCCTCACAATTTGGATAGCAGATGATTTTCAGATTGGTTATTGAGGTTGATACCAGAAAGACAATAACGTAGCCTTGTGAACATTGTTACAGGTTCTTTACGATCAAAATTGCTGCTGATTGTTGATGTGATATTTCTTTGACATCGAGCGTGTCGCGACGGCAAGGGGAGCTTCACTTATTCTGTTTTATTTTAAAGACTGTCACATGTTATAGACATGAATGGTTTAATGAGCTCCTAGTGAGAAGCCAGCCCTTGCTGTGAGAGTGATGAATGCGCTGTGACGTTGCTCATGTAACTGGACGTTTCAAGGCAATTGACATCGCATGGGAAATGGTTGCACCCGTGAAGTTGTTCTCGGGAAAGTGCCTGTTAGATGTGGGAGGTTGTCGAGTTGATGTGGGCTTCATCTTTACCCAAGGCTGCGCGTAAGTCTAATCAAAGTTGAGATCTGGTCTTGGGCTACTATGTGCAGCGGTGGAGGTGGTGATCACGTCAAGTGCAACTCTTATCATGTTTCCAACACATCACTGCCAGGGAATCAGGGTGGTGCAGTGGTAACACTTGTGCCTTACAGCAAGGACACGTTCTATTCCTGAATCGGACGCCTTTCTGTGTGGAGTTGGTATTCTCTCCCCCTGTTTTCCATGATTTTCTTCCTGGTTCTCCTGTTTCTTCTCATTGCTGTGTTGGCCAAACATCCCCATGTATCAGAAACTTCCTGAAAAGGACGCTTCGGTGTCAGTGTGGCTTTCCTGGGTAAACAAATCATTGCTATACAATAAAATCACAAAGTGTTTTTGTGTACATAATCTGCTGTGGGCATCTGACTGATGTGTGCTACTAGCGCTGTCTGTAAAATGGTTGACAGCATGATAGGGAGACAGCTCACAATCCTTGGGAAAACAACATTTTACATTTCTGCTGTTTGTCTAAACTATTTCCCTGGCAATTTGACAATCGAAACCCGCCGGATGGCTCAGAGCGAGAGCAAGCGGCTCGCAATTGGAAGGTCGCGAGTTTAAACCCTTCCTGGGGGTTGAAGTGGCCCATCGTCCCTCCGGGGTTGATAAAATAGGTAGTACTTTGTGGGAAGGTCACCAGTGGTTGTCCTATGGAAGGACTTGCCTCCACCATAGGAATGTCGAATTCCCCCCACTGGCTTAGCATTATTAACAGGGGGTGAGCACTGCCTCAATGCTGATTTTAGCAAGGCATCACTTTGACTTGACGTTGAGTACAAGTGAAATGCTCGCGGTGCGATTTCTCTGGCTGTGGGAGGTGTGCGGTTGGGTTTGGATGAGGACCAGAGAATATTGTCGCGTGCCCGGGTTGGCACTGCCTGCCTGTGGCACTGCACTCACAGATTTTTTTTGTCAATTTCGATTATTGTACAAAGTGACATTTCACCAAACAATCCAAAAATCACCGCAATATTTTTTTAAATGTATTTCACTTGTTTACCCGAGAAGCCTCAGTCTCAAGGACCTCTTTCAGGAGGGTCCTGCCAAGCTTTCACAGCATTGGGATGTTTGGCCAATACCAGTTTCATTATATTTTAGCTATCGAACCCAGACCCTTTTTGCGGTGAGGCACCAGTGTTACCACTGCGCCATCCTGCCGGACTAATGAGAATGAAAATTATATTCTCATTTTAGCCGTGCATCCAGGGAACCTAATGAAAGTAAAATTGTTTGTGGTGTTTTCACAGCAGAGCCACACATGGCTACCAGTGGGTACAGAGAGAAGGGGGATCAACAGCTCGTGATGGGTCTGATGACAAAAGGGCACCTTCTGGTGCAGAGCACTCTCGGGTGAGTGTCAACTGAGTGGCATGCAGTGGCACTGCTATGGGTGGGAATATAGGAGAGGCGAAGGCAATTAAGATGGAACGTGGAAAGTTGGAAGAGAATGGAGTGTCTAAAATTAACCATTGAAAAGCACATTGAACTCGGTGAGTGTTGCTCACTGTGGCAGCCCACCGCCACATTATTCAATCTGCCCAAATAACGACAAATCTGTGTCTCTGTGAAAACACAGACGCTGCCTTGCTTGGCAAGCACAACGCTTTTGCTTGAGCCCTTGAGGTCACCGTGGGTAAGGCTGAGACGGGGTAGGGCATGCCTACCTGGCAGCCGTCGCGCTTTACCCTTTTGGCGAATCCTGAGATGGCTCTTGGCCGTCTGCTCCACCACTAATCGCTGCATGGCTTCCCTCACAACGAACACACACTCCTCCTACCTTCTCATGAATGCCTGGGTGAGGCAGAGCAGTGCATCTATGCCTCGAGTGGCTGCATGTGTTGCAGATAAAATAGCTGCACCTTTAGCCACAGTGTGCACAAGTCCTTTGTGATGGGAGATTGTAAAGTTTCATATTGATGAGTCACATGAAGTATATAAAGCACATGCCTTTTAGTTTCGATTAATATAAACAGCTTGCATGTACGTTGTATTATCTCTTATTCATATTTAGTTTATGTAAAAAAAATAAGAAAAAATATCTTGTATATCGAAACAAAATAGGTGGTAATTATGCTATGGGCGGTTGATTGTATATGGCTCGGCATGTTTAACGTGGGATGTTGGGTTTACGATGTGACTTTTATTTTGTCCGATGTACTTTTAGCCAATGTGCCTTTTGGGGTCACCAACCCCTCAGTCTGATTTGCCATGAGGCTACCTATATTGAATTGCAGTTTGTAAGCCGCATTGATATTTATATTGAGTGCTGATGTTTTACGCAATATTTTCTCTAAATATTAACACAATGCAGTGGCTATGCATAAATCTAACCATTTTCTATAGACCGCCATCACAGGGGGAATATAACTACAATTGAACTCACAGCTTCAATCATGTCATGTATAAAAGTTTTATCCGTTTATGAGAATGTTTAGTTGAATAAGCTGTGTACATGGTTCACAGTGTGGGAAGCAGGAGACGATAACATGAAGTGTATTTACACACAAGAGTATTTTTCATTTAAGGCTGTAACATATCACGCATGTCGATAACCGTTGCACATTCTAACGCATGTGTGCCGTTAAATAAAGTATATCTTGCTAAACTCATCACTTCGTGTGCTGAATTTTAATTACCCACAATCGCTTTCATTTATTGGAATGCAATTCAAATTTCCAACCCATTTTGTGGCTGTTGAGTCTGCTAATAAACTGCGCAGTTGGCACAATTGCATGGCTTTCCCACTAATCCGCTCTCCGTGCAGAGTGCACGAACTCTTGGCTCCAACACGACCGCATGCACACACTTGTCGTCTTGGCTGCTGAACGTTGCCTCCAGTATCGACGGGTTCGAGTTCTACAAACCTTTCTCAGGATGCGCATTCATTTTGGATTATCTTTGCCCTCGCGATGTGTTCGGTGCAGATTTACCAGTGGTGGCCACTGCTCCAATATGCTGTACTATTATACCATAACACAAACCTGGGACCTATACCTCACTGAAAGTTGAAACTGTTCTGGGGTTTTGCTTACAACAGTGAACCATTGTTGATGAAATTATGCACTGCCAGAAGGTCATATGGCTGATGAGATGTGTAGAAGAATTAATATATTTTTTTACATGTGGATGTTACGTATTGCCTGCTGATTTATTTTGTACAATTTTACAAGTCATCCTGTGTTTCGATGGGCACACATCACCGGATGTTGTTTTAGTTGCAAATGTAGAAATGCTGTTTTTGTAATATATTTGTATTTTTGTATTGTCTTTTTTCCAAGTTACATCACAATTGTTCCAATCGATGTAACACCGAGATGACAATTTCCACTTGGAGCTCTTGCAGAAAGGATTACATCAGTGCATGTGAGAACAGCTTTTGGAAGATGATATCACAGAACTACATCTTATATCCATTTGCCTCTCATATATAGAGGCTGCTACACCCAAACATTTGCAGATCACTCTTGCAATTGAGGCCGTGTGGCTAATGGGATATGTAAAAAGACATTTTATTTTTTATGTGGTGACATATATGTGGAGGCGTATTGTCTGCTTATTTAGAGGCACGAGAAGGATCAATGCACAGGGTGCTGTGGGTTTGTATAAAACGAGCGGCGCTGTAGTTGCGTGGTGAATGCATGCTTGCTGCTGTGTCCTTGGCCTCGGGGGTGGTCTCCTTTGCCGCCTGCGGCTCGCGTGGCCACGGGGGGCCCCATCCGCCAGTCGCAATCTGGCTCAGAGGTGCGGGGCGGCCGCAGTTCGGTGCCGCTGGATGCCCAGCGCCGGAGCCGCTTCCCAGACATGAGAGACCTCCTGCCTCGTCCTCAGAGACGTGTCTCCTCCCCCACCAGGTGAGGCCCCCGTGCAACTGCCTGCTGGATTTGCCGCAGCTCTTCCAAGCCCTCTCGGCACAGACCGGGCTGTGCCGTGTTCTGCGGACAATTAGCACACTCCAGACACACTGCTGTGTGCACTTTACCATGGTCTTGCAAGCACGGGTATAGCCTGTGAACACCGGTGGTTTGTGAAGGTGCGGTGTAGGGTTGTTAAATGAAGATCTGCAAACTTATAAGAATCATTTACCCATTCTGAATTCACGAACCTAATTAATTTCAGGATAATTTTAGTAATAAATACACTGATTATCTCGTATTACATTTTCTGCATGGTACATTTGCCTTCGTTTCTCACTTGTCAGTTAAAAAGTAAAGGTGCAGCCCTGCAATTGCTTGCTCAGGCCACTGGTGGTGAAAGGACCAAAGACAAAGATCCCATGTATAACCTTAAAAGACTGGAGGAGCAAGTGGTTTTAGCCAGCACCTTTGAAGGCCAGCACAGCACACGAGGGGGTGGGTGGCCAGCACCATACCCGGCCGCCTTTGTCTTCTTAGTGGTAATGTTTACACACCACACCAGGTACTCATTTAAGGCTGAGCCGACCTAGGAGAGGCCCAGGACCAGTTCAGATAATCGTCAAGGGTGTTGACCGTGAGCAGGAATTGAATCTGGGTTGCCGGGGTAGGCATACCCACACTTTACCCTACTACACGCCACCTTTACCCCACCACATTAATACTGCTAGGTGGACAGAGGCGAGAGGGATTTAATTCACTTTTATAAATCAAATTGGTAATCGACGACCTCTGGATTGCACATCCATTGTTTTGCTGCAGCTCCCTTCGTTGGTGCATGCAGCAAACTGGTAACCATTATTTGAAAAAAAAAATCATGCAGTTACCGGTAAACGGCAATAATTTTTTGACATTGCATTTGAGTATTTCACTTGGATAATCGTGGAGTTGGAGCCTCTCAGGGTGTCGATTGAAACACGCGCAGCAAACGTGTAATGACCCGTACACCTTTCAATCTCTAACTTTTGCAGCATGTATTTACACAGTGAATATGGCACCAGTCAATCGCCACCCTGGATACCCACGCACATTGGATGTTGCATCTCTAGGGATTGTCCAGGTGAAATTTTTTAATTCATGCATTTAAAAAACCCACCTGTTTGTAAGATCAACTGTGAGTGTTTGTAATTCAGGCAAACCAAGCGAGCATCACGCCCAGCAGAAGATGCCCGAGCAGAGAAAGTGACTTCACCGTCTCGAGGAGACCCAGGCAAAGCATCACGCACGCAGCCACCGCCCTCTGCATTGCTCAACTCTGAAGCTCCTTCCAGCCGCTCCCGACATGCGAAGCAGCAGCAGCAGGCGGAGCAGCCTCCGCGCAACGCGGAGCGACCCGCGGGAGGCGTCCCGCAGCCCGCAGGGATGGGCGTGTTGGGGTTTCCTCGACTCGCAATCCTCTCCACGGGCTCTCTACAGCGCCGTGCCGCCACCTCTTCGCAGCGGGACACAGGGCGCCCTGGCCGGACGGGACCCACGGTCGGGGGCCGTTCGGTGGAACTCCAGAATTCTCCTGCGCAACTCACGCGTATTCCCCGCTTCCATTCGGCGGGTGCTGGAGGGGGGCACCACCACTACCACCAGCAGCATCAGCAGTCCCCACCGGCCACGCAGGCCACCCACGCAGGCCAGCAGCAGGACCTGGCTAGGTTTGGCTTTCAGCCCCCCAAGGCCCGTCACATGTTGAAGCCCAAGGACTTTCAATGGGGCCAGACAGCAGCGGTCTAGCAGTTAGGGTTGCCACCTGTCTGGGTTGACCAGAACAGTCTGGATATTGGCAACCATGTTTGGGTTGCAGATCTGGAGGTATTATGTGTAACTCTGTCACAATATACTTTGCAGTTCTGATAAACTTCGGCTGATTGAAAATTACGTCCCGGTTTGGTCTAGAGTGGAAAAGGTGGTGATGTGATGAGTGTAGTGCACTCAAGCCAATCGCGTGAGCTCTGTTTCACCTTGGGAGCAATACAGTTTTTACATGTTTCTATTGTACGGTCGTGGGCCCTGGCAGCTGTTTGTAGGGTGCTGCTGCTGCTGTGTAATGACTTTCTAGTAGTTTGACGTAATCTTGTTTAATGGACCCCCTCCGTCAATTTTTTGGTTTTGGATTGTTGCCTCCTCTCATCACTTCCATTGCTGTGCTGCACTGGTTGCCAATGAGGTACGAAACCACGTGCGTCTCGACATGTGAGATAGTGCACACGTAAGGCCATGTCCCATCATTTGTTTTGAAAGCAACACAAACGGTCTCAGAAATTTAGCTGATCAGGTGGCTGCTCAGCAGCATAGCGAGCGGCTCGCATTCGGAAGGTCGCAAGTTAAAATCCTTGTTGGGGGCTCAAGCAGCCCATCCTCCCTCCGGGGTTGATCAAATTAGTACCACTTTATGGGAAGGTCAACAGTGGTTGTCCTATGGAGAGACTCGCACCCACCACTGGAATCTGGAATTCCCCCACTGTCTCGGTGCTGTAAACTTAAGATGAGCATCATTGCCTCGTGTCATGAGCATAAAATCACAATTGTGTTGGCTGGCAGGTGTGGGAGGGCCTGGCAAGGGTGGTTGTTAAAAGGCAGTGAAAGATGTCACCAGGTGCTTTGTAACGGGGGTGGTCAGCTCTGCCCTCACGACGCCCTTGCTCGTTCAGGATACGAGCGCTCGATGACTTCCCAGGGTCACTCTATGCTGAAATAAATAAATAAGCATACAATCCGCCTCCACATAAAATATATAACGTGATTATTCACTCTTGAGTATAATTATTCACATCCTATCAGCTACGTGGCCTTGTGGCCGTGTATCATTTTAGAGAAGGTTTTTGTCTTTGTATATCTGACATCAGTATGCCATACTCAATGGTTCTTTCGGTAAAGTCACGTAGGTATAAAATAAAATAAATCACGACGTTTCGGGCGCAACACAAGCGTCCGTCATCAGGTGATGACTTTATTTGATTTTCTACCTACGTGGCTTTACCGAAAGAACCAAAGAGTATGGATTCCTGCAGTCACGAAAGCTTCAAATCAAGATGATGAGTATTGATTCAAGCAAGGCTGATTGCTGATGAGACGCTGAATGTCAAAGCCGTTCCAGAGTTTGTGTTGAACCAATGCTCCATAATAAAGGTTTTTTGGGTCAGATCGCGTAAATATATAAATGTGTCGTTAAAACCCACCACCACCCGACACAGCCAACTAGTAAGGGTTGTCACGAAAAGAGAACATGCCAATTCGTCACTAGTACAGCACAGCGGGTGTGTTGGAGAGCCAAGCCACAACATTTACAATCTGAGTACGACTTTTCGCCAGTAATTACATAAAATAATTTCTGTATTTTATGTACCGTGCCAAATCTGACTGGGATGTGTTGTTTTTCCAAATATCTGGCTAGTTTATCAGTTACTCCCGCAAAATACAGATTTTATTTCTAGTACAAAAGATGTCATACCGAAGCTATCAACAGAAGGTGTGTACAGGATTAACTGCACATGTGGAAAATGTTGTTAGGCAAACAGGACGAATGATCAGCACGAAACTAAAAGAACATCAGAGAAATATAAAATTCTCCCAAATACAACTGTCAGCAGTAGCAGAACACGCGTGCCAACAAAGACACTCAATTAATTTTGATAATGTTGAAGTGCTGTGCAAAACCGGCTACTACTGGCCAAGACTAATTAGATAATCTATCGAAATTGAAAGAAATAAAATTATTTTAACCGTTCGGATAGCTACCGCCTTAGTGCTGCGTGGAAGCGAATCATCAAATAATACATTATTTAAATGCATGCCTACAAAGGGCAGCGTACTTCAATATGGATTACCGTTGGTACGGCTATTTTAGTACGCACAATAGACAGTAAGGACAAGATCAAAGGGCTCGCATGATGCGCATGCATAATGTAAGGTTGACTCAGTAATCCCTCCCCCCCCCCCCCACTTTGCGCAAGAGCGCAGAAGCGTGGTCACCACATCTACGCCTCTATATGAGATACGAAACAGGTGGACTTCTCCACAAATCTGGCTGTCGCCTGATGAAGCTAGTTGTAATTACTGGCGAAACGTCGCACTCAGATTGTAAATGTTGTGGCTTGGCTCTCCAACACACCGGTATGCAGTACTAGTGACGAATTGGCCACGTTCTGTTTACGTGACAACCCTTACTAGTTGGCTGTGTCGGGTGGTGGCGGATTTAACGACATATTTACGCGATCTAACCCAACAAAAACTCTAATGGATGATATTGGTCGCGAAAGCCTACGTGTTAAACTGAACCAATGCTGCTGAAATTATGTACTCCCAAAGTTATTGCTAATGGAATGTGTAAAAATACTTTTATTTGCTTGGAGGGACAGATGTGTGAGGGAGGCGAGTTTGTCTGATTATGTATCTTGTATTCTCCAAGATGCCACGGATGGGTCTGATCGTGGTATGCGGTGAGAACCGTGCATGCATCGATAGGCACATGGCAGACGATTCTTATGAACGTGTAACTGACAATATGTAGATTCATAACATTTCGTGATAACCGTGCATGCTGAGCCCCGTGGGCACAGATCCGTACAGCCACGCACAGCAGGGACCATACGAGGACCAAAGTTATATCCATAGACACGTGATCACTTGTATTCCCACTTATTACCCAGGTATGTTTTATTCAGTTGTGTGTGTAAGTTGTACGCAAGTTGTAGGCTTGTAACCTTTCAGTGAAGAACGCTTTTACAGCCGTCTAATGATGGCGTAGTTTAACATCATACCTTGGCTTCAGTTGTTAATTAGCGTGAATCGATAGGCATATGGCAGCCTATTCTCATAAACGTGTAACTGACAATATGTAGATTCATAACATTTCGTTTATACCTTTGTAACACAAACATTAAATAAAAAGTACTTACAGTATGCAACCTCGCTTGTCAGTCTAATATCTGCTCCATAATTAGCGTGGGTGAGACCGCGCATACCAAGTCGATCCAGATCCCGTAGACCCCACTCGACCACCCCCAGGTACGAGAACTCCATAACGACCCCAAACATCCACCACTACCACCACATTCTCCATAATAATCATCACCACCTTCCATTTCCAGCAGCACAACACCCCACCATCACAACAGCCCTACCACCATCATGGTGTTAGGACTAGATCCTTTATGGCAGCAGAGGTCTCACTCCGAGTCAGTCGAGAGGCCGCGTAAAGCTGTGTGGAGCTACATGGCCTATCGTTCCATACTAAGCTACGGGGCTTCTCGACTACAGTCATGCCCTCCCTTCTTTATGCTTGTGTAGTGAGTCCAACTGAGTCGCAGACGTTATCTTGGGAGCAACACTATTTATCCAATAAATAAACATAACCTACACTTGGGTGTTGAATGCTCATCAAGCCATGCTACATCAGAACTAGACACCGGTTCGCTATCCCGGCCCGGACCACGAGCTGCTGGGTCCCGGAGCGCGTGGCTAGAGGCTTCTTTTACCCGACGTGGATCTTCTTCACCAGCAACACGAAGAACCCCGAGCCTCTCGTGGGGGCCCCGTTATATCCCCCTGAGATGGGGCTGGCTGCGCCCTTCGCCCCGCCCACCTTCCAGATCTCGCGAGCTCTTTCCCAAAGGCTCCCTGAGAGATCTTTTAGACCACGTGGCCGCCCAGTGGCCCCCGTCCACCGGTCCCCCCCTTCAATATGATCCGGTCACGTGTCGGCAGGTCAACCAGCGTATCATGCCCCAACGTAACCCTGGCTGGCTGACGCTCCCCCTCGCTCCCTCACCGGCACCGCACACTGCTCGCGGTGCCTCCGCGCTGGCCAGCGCTCACCCAAGCCCCGAAAGGGCTGGAGGTACTACGCCCAGTAAGCGGGCTGCACGTAATGCCAACACATTATCCGCCGTGGCTTCGTAAGCCCGGCACCACACAGTGACAATCACAGTCACTACACTTGTGAAACGTGGACCCCTTTAAAGGAACATCCGTGCCAATTTAAAACATTCAGCCCAGCCTGCCTACCATCTCATTCTGGGTTTAACCAGAGCTGAATGTGTGTGGAGCTCATATCCATGAAAAATATGGACACTGCCCCATCAGTGAGCTCCTCTGGCAGGTGAGGCTGCGTTGGCTGGGTCGTGTAACCTGCATGTCCAGCCACCACACGTCCAAACAACTTTTGTTTGGCCGGATATGGGGGCTAAACGGACGAGGCATATGCTAGAGAAGAGATTGACTGATGTGGTACAGGAGAATGTAGAGCTGAGAGGCCTTGCCGATTACTGGTACCAGCGGTGTCAAGATTGGCCTCTGTGGAGGAGGTTCGAGAACGAGTGCGGGGCCTGTAGCATATGTTATATAGGGGCCCTAAAAAAACTAATATGAAAACACATGTTTAACTTGCATCGTAAAGTACTTGTATTTTTTCATTTCCTATACAGCCAGATAATAGACAAATCGCTAACATTAAACACCCAATCGTTAATAAAAGTTGAAGGCAGTATCGTACTATAGTAATAGAGAAAGCGCAGAATCACTTAACCGGAATTGATAGCTTGAAAGCATTTAGCGCGTGGCCCTTGAAAGTGCGGGGCCCGTAGCTACTTCTTTTGGTACGAGGATAATCCGGCACTGTCGAGAACGCTCCTAAGCAGTTTGAGGCAGTCGCCCTCCAACAACAAGGGGAGGGCGGAGGAGCGAAGCTCACAGCGAGCAGAGCGCCGGGCCGATGAAACGGAGTGGAGTTTGTGCATTTACGAGTAATCTTAGTGAACCCATGGGTCTGTTTCTTGACTTCAACACTTCACGTAGCATCAAAGTGCACCTCGCCCGGCACAAATGCCCCACCACTTCGTGGCTGTGAGAATGGAGCTGTGTGTGTGGAGCTGCGTGTGTGTGTGTGGAGCCGCGTGTGGAGCTGTGAGTGGAGCTATCTGTGTGTGTCAGTGTGTATATGCGGAGCTGTGTACGTGTGCCCGCGTGCGTGTGGTGGCCTCACGCGGCGGGTGGTGGTGGTGATGCCACAGGTCTTGTGCAATCGTCACCATCCACTTCCTCCAGCCCCGCCTCCCCTCCCATCGCTTCGCTCTGGGGAAGAGCGAATTCGCCTCTGAGTTTTCGTCAAAGGAGGAGCGCAGCTGGGAGAGGTTTGGGAGAGTTGGGCTGTCTCGCCTGGAGGCCCCGTCAGCTCCACGCTGCAAGCTGCGCCATCTGCTAGGACCCCCCCCTCCCAGCTCCCTGTAACTGGGACCCCCCCTGCCAGCTCCCTGTAACTGGGACCCCCCCTGCCAGCTCCTTGTAACTGGGACCCATACCCCCCCTGCCAGCTCCCTGTAACTGGGACCCCCCCTGCCAGCTCCCTGTAACTGGGACCCACCCCCCCCTGCCAGCTCCCTGTAACTGGGACCCACACCCCCCCCTGCCAGCTCCCTGTAACTGGGACTGTCTCGGCCCCCCGCGCCAGACACAGGGGGGGGGGGGGCTGCGCTTTCCGCGCGCTCTGCGCCGAGGGCTTCTGTCCAGGGACCTTTGGGGACCGTTCCCGACGTCTTCTGCGTGGCCTGACAAGTCCGTGCCGCGTTGGCGGGGGCGCTGGGGATGGCCGCGAGGCTTCGGAGGCTTCTGGCGACCGCGATGGTGGCGGTCGCTTTTTCTGCTGTCGTGGCCACGGAGGATGAAGGTGAGAACAGGGGCTCTGTGGGGGGGGGGGGGGGGGGGGGGCACGAGGCGGTGTCCTCCAGCCCAGCCGTGGCTGTCACGGAGCCACCGACTCTGCCTGCACCTGCAGCGCCCCCCACCTGCCCCCCACCTGCAGCGCCCACCTCGTGCCACGGAGCTCTTCACGCGGCCGTGTTGTTGGTACCACCCGCAGCCGGGAGCGGTGGCGCACATGAGCCGAGTTAGATTTCGACTCACGACTAAACGAGTAGCTGGTGCGGTGTGTAAACATCGCCACTGGGGAGACAAAGGCGGCCAGGCGTGGTGCTGGCCACCCACCCCCTCGTGACTGCTCTAACAGGCTGTGAAGGCTTTAAGGGGGAGGGGTATTTGTCCATTCTGAATGTCTCGTGCCCATGCGGAATGAGTGCGGCTGGTGTGCAGACGAGCGCTGTCTGGGTCCATCCAGAATTAGCGGTGTCCATCCACAAAGTGTGACTCGTAGTGCAGTAGATGTAGTCCTAGAACTCTGGATTGGATGCGTTCTAGCCACGTCACATACCAATTGGTACGTGCGCGTTATGTGGACATACATCCAGAGACTTATATTGTATCTGAATTGCTGTGATGCTGTTGTCCAAGAGACGCCCGTGACACGGACACCGCAGCCGTGGGAGCCGTGGGAGGCACTCTGTGTGGAGATGGCTGAGGCTTGATGTGCTCTGTGCCGCCCGCAGCTTGTGGGGGCAAGCTGTCAGCCGCCACCCCGGGGTACATCATGTCCCCCGGATACCCCAGGGACTACCCGCCACACTTGGTGTGCCGCTGGGAGCTGCAGGCCCCGGAGCGCGGCCAGCGCATTTCAGTCACCTTCAACCCGCACTTTGATGTGGAGAAGACTTCGGAATGTCGGTAGGTGTCCATCATGACAACTTGCCGCGCCTGTGAACTGTGGTGTAAGGTGAAGCCGAGTGGTTGACAATGGAGGCCGAACTGAGTGCAAAGAGTTTTTAGAAGAGGGCGCTGCAAGGGGATGTTTGACCAATTCTTTATTTCGATGTTCACGTGCGGCATATGCTTTGCTTACCTTAACAGAAACGAACATGAGCAGACACCTCGCCTCGCCATATTTGTATTATTTGTATACATCCTATCAGCCACACGGACTATTGGGACTTGGATTCACCACGCCCGGCCGCCTTGATGGCGATGTTCACACACCACAGCAGTTACTCGTTTGAGGCTGAGTCGACCTTGGGGCAGCCCAGGACCGGTTCAAATAATCGTCATCGGTGTTGGCCGTGAGCGGGAATCGAACTCGGTTCACCGGGTTCGTAGCGTAGCGTGCTAACCACTACACCACCGCTCCCTACACACACACGCGCTTGCTGCAGACACACAACACAACTTTAAGGGTGCGTACGGTAGTAAACGACTCAAATAATAAAGCAGCAATGCTGTGCGAAGAACGCCTTAGACCTGCAACACATTTGTATTTCACTTTAGCCGCGATCAGCAGGCACACTGCGTGACGCTTCCGCACACGGGTCACATGACAGATGTGACGTCACAGCTCACTTGCCGTGCAAAATATATGCATTATTGCGCCCCCCCCCCCCAAATACTAAAGTGTATTTTTTCTAATTTTTACATGGTGTACAGTCTGGAAAGTACCCACATGGCAAATTTCAAGTTTGTTGCATGTCGGGAAGTACGCTAAACATTTTGAACAGACACACATAATCACAAATTTCCCTTTTTTATACATATAGACAAGCAAACTCGACTGGTTTTGACATTGTCTCATCAGCAATTCAGACTTTCTTGAACCAAGGCTGTATGGGCAATGACTCTTTCCTTGTTAGAGACGGATCCTAGTACGACACAAATCTATGCCAAGCACAACACAATCATAGAATCATTCACGCCTTCGGGGAGGGTATGAGCTGACAATTGTTTTCCTTCGTCTCTTGCGTTCTGCACAACGAGACGCGTGTGGATCAGTTTACGTTGGCTTCCGGTTGGCGATGGAATTGGTGGTGCACGCTTTGCCGCATGTTGCCTCCCATCTCATTGCGAGTACGGAAATTACTGTCGCACTCCGAGCTGGAGGTGTTTTGTGCGTCGGTGAAACCGCCTGCCACTGGGCGTTCAGTGTGTAGACGAGTGTTCAGTGTCTAGACGTGTGTTCAGTGTGTCTAGACGTGTGTTCAGTGTCTAGACGTGTGTTCAGTGTCTAGACGAGTGTTCAGTGTCTAGACGTGTGTTCAGTGTCTAGACGAGTGTTCAGTGTCTAGACGAGTGTTCAGTGTGTCTAGACGTGTGTTCAGTGTCTAGACGTGTGTTCAGTGTCTAGACGTGTGTTCAGTGTGTCTAGACGTGTGTTCAGTGTCTAGACGTGTGTTCAGTGTCTAGACGAGTGTTCAGTGTCTAGACGTGTGTTCAGTGTCTAGACGAGTGTTCAGTGTCTAGACGAGTGTTCAGTGTCTAGACGTGTGTTCAGTGTCTAGACGAGTGTTCAGTGTCTAGACGAGTGTTCAGTGTCTAGACGAGTGTTCAGTGTGTCTAGACGTGTGTTCAGTGTCTAGACGTGTGTTCAGTGTCTAGACGAGTGTTCAGTGTCTAGACGTGTGTTCAGTGTCTAGACGAGTGTTCAGTGTCTAGACGAGTGTTCAGTGTGTCTAGACGTGTGTTCAGTGTCTAGACGTGTGTTCAGTGTCTAGACGAGTGTTCAGTGTGTCTAGACGTGTGTTCAGTGTCTAGACGTGTGTTCAGTGTCTAGACGAGTGTTCAGTGTGTCTAGACGTCTGTTCAGTGTCTAGACGTGTGTTCAGTGTCTAGACGAGTGTTCAGTGTCTAGACGTGTGTTCAGTGTCTAGACGAGTGTTCAGTGTCTAGACGTGTGTTCAGTGTCTAGACGAGGGTTCAGTGTCTAGACGAGTGTTCAGTGTCTAGACGTGTGTTCAGTGTTTCTAGACGTGTGTTCAGTGTGTCTAGACGTGTGTTCAGTGTGTCTAGACGTGTGTTCAGTGTCTAGACGTGTGTTCAGTGTGTCTAGACGTGTGTTCAGTGTGTCTAGACGTGTGTTCAGTGTGTCTAGACGTGTGTTCAGTGTGTCTCGACGTGTGTTCAGTGTGTCTAGACGTGTGTTCAGTGTGTCTAGACGTGTGTTCAGTGTGTCTAGACGTGTGTTCAGTGTCTAGACGAGTGTTCAGTGTCTAGACGTGTGTTCAGTGTCTAGACGAGTGTTCAGTGTCTAGACGTGTGTTCAGTGTCTAGACGAGTGTTCAGTGTCTAGACGTGTGTTCAGTGTCTAGACGAGTGTTCAGTGTCTAGACGTGTGTTCAGTGTGTCTAGACGTGTGTTCAGTGTCTAGACGTGTGTTCAGTGTCTAGACGAGTGTTCAGTGTCTAGACGAGTGTTCAGTGTCTAGACGTGTGTTCAGTGTCTAGACGAGTGTTCAGTATCTAGACGAGTGTTCAGTGTCTAGACGTGTGTTCAGTGTGTCTAGACGTGTGTTCAGTGTCTAGACGAGTGTTCAGTGTCTAGACGTGTGTTCAGTGTCTAGACGTGTGTTCAGTGTCTAGACGAGTGTTCAGTGTCTAGACGTGTGTTCAGTGTGTCTAGACGTGTGTTCACTGTCTAGACGAGTGTTCAGTGTCTAGACGAGTGTTCAGTGTCTAGACGAGTGTTCAGTGTGTCTAGACGAGTGTTCAGTGTCTAGACGAGTGTTCAGTGTCTAGACGTGTGTTCAGTGTCTTGACGTGTGTTCAGTGTCTAGACGAATGTTCAGTGTCTAGACGTGTGTTCAGTGTCTAGACGAGTGTTCAGTGTCTAGACGAGTGTTCAGTGTCTAAACGTGTGTTCAGTGTCTAGACGTGTGTTCAGTGTGTCTAGACGTGTGTTCAGTGTCTAGACGTGTGTTCAGTGTCTAGACGTGTGTTCAGTGTCTAGACGAGTGTTCAGTGTCTAGACGTGTGTTCAGTGTCTAGACGTGTATTCAGTGTCTAGACGAGTGTTCAGTGTCTCGACGTATGTTCAGAGTCTAGACGTGTGTTCAGTGTGTCTAGACGTGTGTTTAGTGTCGAGACGTGTGTTCAGTGTTTAGACTGAGTGTTCAGTGTCTAGACGTGTGTTCAGTGTCTAGACGAGTGTTCAGTGTCTAGACGTGTGTTCAGTGTCTAGGCGTGTGTTCAGTGTGTCTAGACGAGTGTTCAGTGTCTAGACGAGTGTTCAGTGTCTAGACGTGTGTTCAGTGTCTAGACGAGTGGTCAGTGTCTAGACGAGTGTTCAGTGTCTAGACGTGTGTTCAGTGTCTAGACGTGTGTTCAGTGTCTAGACGAGTGTTCAGTGTCTAGACGTGTGTTCAGTGTCTAGACGTGTGTTCAGTTTGTAGACGAGTGTTCAGTGTCTAGACGTGTGTTCAGTGTGTCTAGACGTCTGTTCGGTGTCTAGACGTGTGTTCGGTGTCTAGACGAGTGTTCAGTGTCTAGACGAGTGTTCAGTGTCTAGACGAGTGTTCAGTGTCTAGACGAGTGTTCAGTGTGTAGACGTGTGTTCAGTGTGTCTAGACGTGTGTTCGGTGTCTAGACGTGTGTTCAGTGTCTAGACGAGTGTTCAGTGTCTAGACGTGTGTTCAGTGTGTCTAGACGTGTGTTCGGTGTCTAGACGTGTGTTCAGTGTGTCTAGACGAGTGTTCGGTGTCTAGACGTGTGTTCAGTGTCTAGACGTGTGTTCAGTGTCTAGACGAGTGTTCAGTGTCTAGACGTGTGTTCAGTGTCTAGACGAGTGTTCAGTGTGTCTAGACGTGTGTTCAGTGTCTAGACGAGTGTTCAGTGTGTCTAGACGTGTGTTCAGTGTCTAGACGAGTGTTCAGTGTCTAGACGAGTGTTCAGTGTGTCTAGACGTGTGTTCAGTGTCTAGACGTGTGTTCAGTGTCTAGACGAGTGTTCAGTGTCTAGACGTGTGTTCGGTGTCTAGACGTGTGTTCAGTGTCTAGACGTGTGTTCAGTGTCTAGACGAGGGTTCAGTGTCTAGACGAGTGTTCAGTGTTTAGACGTGTGTTCAGTGTGTCTAGACGAGTATTCAGTGTCTAGACGAGTGTTCAGTGTCTAGACGTGTGTTCAGTGTCTAGACGAGTGTTCAGTGTCTAGACGAGTGTTCAGTGTCTAGACGTGTGTTCAGTGTCTCGACGAGTGTTCAGTGTCTAGACGAGTGTTCAGTGTCTAGACGAGTGTTCAGTGTCTAGACGTGTGTTCAGTGTGTAGACGAGTGTTCAGTGTCTAGACGTGTGTTCAGTGTGTCTAGACGTGTGTTTGGTGTCTAGACGTGTGTTCGGTGTTTAGACGTGTGTTCAGTGTGTCTAGACGTGGGACCGCTGCGTTTAAATGCCCCGGTCGCTGTACTTCACTCGACCGCTACTTTTTTACTTCAATGGAAACTCTGTGAACCAGTCCCAAAACCATTACAGTGTCACTGTCCCTGAAGTAAAAACCCAAACATCCCTGTCAACTCCTTATCCACCTTATTACAAACCAATGCATACCTCATTGGTCACCACATGCCCTTATAAATATCAACGTTCATCCTACAAAGTCCCAACGCAAGGGAGAAACACAAACAAATAGGCAAAAAAATGTTGCCCGTATTGAAACGGTTGTACGTATGGACCTAAACACTACATTTCCCCGTACAAGAATAGGGTAAACCGTATGACTTGACAGATATGCAAACAGGCAAAACTCTCACTCAGACACGGATGGAGCTGCTTCAGTGTGGAACGATCTATGGACACTCAAACACTTAGAGCTGGAGAAGCACGTTCTGTACAAACCGGTGTTGCAAACCATTTAATTACACTGTGTAACGAACAAAAAATGTTTTGTTCCTGGGTAATAAGTGTTATTTCCTAATTGATTATTCCTAAAAAGTATAGAAAATGGATATTATTCCCCACAAACGTTGCTTTTGTGTCCTTGTCACAGGAACAAATATTGTGTTACATAGTGTTATTCATGATTATTTACATGTTTGACGGGACGTGATATTGAATGTGTAAATACTTGCTACAAAAGTAATAGATTTAAAATGTTTGTGTACACGCCATTCCACATATGCTGTGCGTGTTTCAATCGACACCCTGGACACCCTTGTAAATGAGAGGTTCCATCCCCGGGATTATTCAGGTGAAATACTCAAAGACGATGTGAGAAAATGATTGCCGTTGATGTTACTGCGAGCATCTGCAGGATAAACTGCTGTCGACACTGCTGATTAACTCAATTTTTTACGCCGATCCACGCCGAACTGGCACTCGGCCTACCCGTGTTTGAGTTGTCTGCGTGAACTGAAATCCCAGCTCCACGGCCTTTCCATCCACAAAGCCCTGGCATCGCACGTTGCCCTCTAGGTTTGACTACGTGGAGGTCCGGGACGGGCGAGACCCCAACGCAGAAGTTCTGGGCAAGTTCTGCGGGAACATCCCCCCCTCGGCGCTCGCCTCCTCGGGCCCGGTGCTCCACATCCACTTCCAGTCGGATTACTCCACCCAGGGCGCTGGCTTCTCACTGAGATTCGAGATACAGGCGACAGGTGGGGCACGGCACAAGCCCGCATGCCCACACGCAGACACCACGGACAGTTTTAATACCTGCTCGATTTGGGAATTTCTTCCTATCGTCTCTTTTCCCAAAAGCTCTTCTAATAAACTTTGCACAGTTCAAGAAATGTCTTTTAAATCTTGATCCATAATTAATTCATGGGTTAGGTGACATTGATCTGACTAAATTTGTATTGTTAAGACCCTCCATCACCTGGCACAGCCAAAACAATCTAATTGACAGGTATACCAACATTTATTGCGCGAATTGTTGTTTCAGCTCACTGGTAACTTCGACAGTGCTGTTTGCTGCTGGCCACTTGACATTGGGAATTTGCTCAGCAACTGTGTTAAAAAAAACAGTCACATCCGTTTGCCCGTTGTCTTTCCTTTTTCGCAGATGAATGCTCGCACACGTTCACAGCTCCTAATGGCTCGTTGCAGTCTCCGGGCTTCCCTGAGCCCTACAAGCACAATCTGGAGTGCACCTACATCATCAAGGCCTCCGTGCCTCGCTCTGAGATCGTTCTGAAGTTCCACACATTCCTGCTGGAGGGAGACCAGCCTGGCACGGCTGGGATACCAGTGGATGCCACGGAGTGTCGCTACGATCGCCTGGAGATCTGGGATGGGCCCCCACGTGGTGGGTGTCTGTCTGCGTGCATGTCTTTGTTTTTGGTGCTTGCTAACTGCACGTGCCCCAACAAGTCTGTCAAAGCTACAGATGGATCTTTGTCTATGTGTGTGGGGAGCGGTGGCATAGCATTTGTCTCAGATGAGATCCTCTCTGTGGGGAAGTCTACAGTGGTTCTATGGATGGACTTGTCCCAGCCATATGAATGCGGAATGTCTGCCAATGGCTCAGGGCAGTACACAGGAGATGAGCACTGCCTTAATACTTATTTACCCAAAATAATTTTGACTCCTGTTCTCATGTTGAACAGTGCCAACTCACTCTTCACTTGAGTGAATGCTTGTCATGTGCAGTACTGGCTGAGGGTGGGTGATCTCCTCGTGTGCGTGGCTGTGTGTAGGGGGCCCCCTGCTGGGCCGGTTCTGTGGAGCAATGTCTCCTGGCGAAGTGCGGGCCTTCTCGGGAATCCTGTCTCTCTCCTTCTACACCGACGGAGGGATCGCACTTGACGGGTTTTGGGCGACATACCGGGTCATCCCGCGGCGTATCATCGAGTGTGAGTGTCACAAGTGTGGAGCAGTATGTTGCGTTTCAATGCTCGTTCGTTTCAGCTTTATTATTGACTGTTGCTGCCATTGGAACAATACAATTCTCAAATTATCTTTAGCATCGTTGTGGATAATATAAGTAGCAATATAAATATGCAGACAATATTCTCCCTTTACACATCTGTTCCTCCACATTAATATTAAAGTATTTTTACACAGCCTTCTGGGAGTGCATAACCTCATCGTTCTTTCAAGCAAGCTGAATTTGCTGGTGACCCTCAACTGCTTTGTAATAATTTGCACAGTCCATGCTGATGACATCAACAACATCAGAAAATGTCACCGAGCTTGCACTTCTCATCCAGAATTGCTCTGTGTTGGTATACATCTCCTGGCTATGAGAATTGCATAAGTCCATGTCAGTGATTTCCTGCTCAAATAAGTGAGCACTGAGGCAGTGCTCATCTCCCGTTTACAGCCCTGAGCTAGTGGTGGAAATTCCACATACCTATGGAAGTGATGAATCTCTCTTGAGGGCAACCACTTTTGACTTCCCCACAAAGTGGTACTGATTTTACCCACACTTGAGGGACCATGGGCTGAGTCAACCCCAACCAGGGTTTGACCCTTCAACATTCCAATTGTGAGCTGCTCGCTCTAGCGCTGAGCCACCCGGCATTTACACGTTCGCTGCCCTGCCGATCGCGCAGCTGATGAGGGCGTCCCTGTCCGCTCTGTTCAGCCGTGCAGTGTAACCAGCCGCTGGGCATGGAGTCGGGCAAGGTGGAGGTCGACCGCATCGTAGCCTCCTCGACGCACAGCAGCAGAATGTGGCAGCCTTGGCAGGCTCGCCTGCACAACCCCATCAATGGGTGGACGCCCAGCAGAGATGATCCGCGGGAGTGGATACAGGTGCGTGGGGGTGCGCAATGCGGGTTCTGCCGGGGCTCATCTACGCGCGCTCGAATGCGACGTCTGCTTCAACGAGGGGTGGTGAATCACACACATTATTGAAACTCCCAACCCAAGGGTGTCGGGGTTGCCATCTCCTGCTTTCCAGTTCACGGCAGTAAAGCATGCGGACTCCTTTCTGTCTTTACGAAGATTGAATATTACCCCCCTCGAACATGTTGGTTTTCTCCAGGAACATTCATTAATGGAGACGGCCAAACATCTCAGTCTATAACCACAGAGCTTGGGCAATTGTTGAAGCCTGAGCGTGGCAAATGTGAATGTACAACTGGCACGGTAGCCTTAGTCACTGCATGAAACAATTGTCCTTGTTCCACAGTTAAAAAGTAAAGGTGTAGCCCTGCAATTGCTCACTCATGCCAACGCTGCTGGAAGGGCCTCCACTCGATCGAGCTCTAGAGAGTGTTTGGTCTACTCTTCTATGCTGACCAAACGTCTTGGAAGAGATGGCAGAGGGGGGATTTGAGAAACTTGCTCCCTTGAGATCGAGTTGGCAACCCCTGGATTGAAATCCACGTGTGCTCACCATTGCTGTGGCTGCTCCCTTGATTTCTTAGTGAAAAAGTGAAACTGTGATGTTGTTTGCTCTAGACATTTGTAACGCAAAAATCCCTACTCCCAAGTCGCCCGCTGAACGGAGAGTTTACTGCACTGACATTTAACCTTGCACTGTCGTTACAGGTGGATCTGGGGTCATTGAAGCTGTTGAGTGGCGTGGCTACACAGGGGGCCGTGTCGCATGAATCACAGATTGGCTACTTTGTCAGCTCCTTTCGACTGGAGGTCAGCAGTTTGGGAGCTGACTGGACAGTGCTCAGAGGGAGCAGAGCCGTGAAGGTACGCAGCGGCACGCCACCCCGCGTCACATCACTGCACGGCACACCCTGCGGGCACACCAGACAACACTCCACACGTAACACCCCACGGCACACCCCCACGGCACACCACAAGGCACACCGCATGGAACACCCTGCGGCACATTAGGCAACACTCCATACATAAGACTCCACGGCACACCCCCAAAGCACACCGCATGGCACACCGCATGGCACCAGATGTGATTCAGCATGAAGCATTCAGGGTCGTTGATAATCCAGATCTCACTGAGTCACTCTAGTCAACTGCTTACCAGCAGCGAGTTGTCTCATCACCCTTCTATTGCTGCTACCAAGGTTACTGGTTCCTTGAACAACACATTTATTTATAGAAAATACATTCTTCAAAAACAAAATTTTAACATGAGAAATATATATATCTACCTTTTAAAAAATCTGTCTTTTGAATGAATTAGTTTAGCGTGCAAACGAGGTCGTGAAGACCTCTTAGTCCACCTTATAAAAATTGCTCAACTCCGTTCTGTTCTGCCATCCTCTGACGCAGAGTGGCTGGTACACGCATTTGTATTTTCACGGATTGACACCTGCACTGCCTCGTTGCTTTGGGTGCGGAGTGTGGTCCTTGGTAGCATCCAGGGTGATCACTCGCACCCCGTGGCTGCGAGAACCCATCTCATCTTCTGTTCTTGCATCGTTACATTGGCTTCCCTGTGTCTTTAGTTGAGTGGTTGTAAGACCTTGTGAGGGCCTACTCCACTTTATATTCAGGAATTGGTTCAATCTTATTCCCTGGCAGAATCCTTAAGATCGACCAATTGTGCCTTTTATGCATGTGTAGTGAGTCCAACTGAGTCGCAGACGTTATCTTGGGAGCAACACTATTTATTCACGTAACAGTACGTAACATAACACAACCTACGCTCGGGTCTCGAATGCCCATCTAGCCACGCTACGGCAGAACTAGACACGCTTCGCTATCCCGGCCCGGACCACAAGCTGGGTCCCGGACCGCGTGGCTAAAGGCTTCTTCTCCCCGACGTAGATCTTCGAACACCGACATACGAAGAACCCCGAGCTCATCACGGAGCTCTCGTTATATGCTCCCGGGCCGGGGCTGGCTCCGCCCCTAGCCCCGCCCACCTTCCAGGCTTCTCGAGCTCCTTCTCGAATGTTCCCGAGAGCCCTTCGGAACCACGTGACCACCCCTCGGCCCCCGTCCACCAGTGGCCCCCCTCCAGTATCGTCCGGTCACGTGACAACAGGTCTGCCAGAGTGTCATGCCCGAGTGTAACCCTGGCTGGCTGACGCTCCCTCTCGCTCCCTTACTGGAAGCCGGCACCGCACGCTGCTCGCGGTGCCTCCGCGCTCACCAGCGCTCACCCAACCACCGCTAGAGCTGGTACTGCAGCCCGTAACCTGGGCTGCCCGTAATCACAACGTTACCGGCCGTGACTTCGCAAGCCCGGCACCATACAGTGACAAGTACAGTCACTACACATGTGTCGTGACATGGAATTGGTCACTACGTAGCATAGCGCTGGTTACTGGCAGAGAAGGGGATCTGCAGTTGCAGTAGCCCTGTCTATCAGCAGGTCACGTGATAAACCAGAGAGAGGGATGTAGGGGAAAAGTTACAGAGAGGGCACGTGAGGGAAGCTCGGGAACCCCCTAGTAGGTTCCAGAAGGGGGGGTGTGGCCGAGGCGGAGCAAGGCTACGCTGGGAGGATAAAATGGGCTGTTGCCTGGAGTGGGATCCCGTTGTGCTGCTGGAGTCTTTGTCGCCATCAACGTCTTCAACCATCTCGGCGTCGTCAGTCAGGCAGTCTGCCAGCTGTCCTGACTGGGAGCTGTAGTTACCTCTTGTGAACTCATTTTCTTGGTTCTTTCGGTAAAGTCACGTAGAAGGGAAGTAATAATATAATAAAAATAAAACATAATAAAATTATTCTCACGACGTTTCGGCCACAACGCAAGCAGCCGTCCTCAGGTGAAAACCAGGTCCGTCGAGGCGACAGAGTCTGAATGAAACAGCACACGAGCTTGGAGCATATATATAAGCTGGGCGCCTTGACAAAGGAATTTGCATATCAAGAGGAATTTTGCATATTTATGGAAAATGCAAGAATGTGATTAGTACTACATATGCATGTGCATTATGCAGGATTAACAGCATCAAAGGGAGCTGCAGTTGCAGCTGCTGCTGCAGCTGCTGCTGCAGTTGCTGCTGCTGCAGTTACTGCTGCTGCTGCAGTTGCTGCTGCTGCAGTTGCTGCCTTATCCATTTTAATATAACACTATGTATTATTCTACCCACCCTAATGTGTATCACACTGCTATATATTTACTATACAATTACGACACCATACATGTGAACTGTGAAGGCTGTTAACATATATAGAGTGCCTCCTACTCCTAGTGTCTCTGAGTCAGTCACTACACATGCATTGATCTCAATTGTGTTCTTAGGGTGATTGGCCGTTTACTGCATTGTGGCCCCTTGTTGTGGAACTCCCTACTGGTGCACCCCCTTCCCCAGAACCAATATCGACATATATCAAAATATACTTGATTGATGTTTGTGTTTCAAATAAATTAATTTAGGATCCAGTGAATTTGAGAGAGGAATTCAAATTAATTTTGTAAGAGGAGACATTTTTATAATTTGAAACCAAGTGAATGATACACGCAACAAAGCAAACTTAGAATTTGTATCTTTCGTGGTAATCACATTGCCATGTTTCTTGAAGGAAGAAAACGGTTTAATGTTTTTTTCATTCTCCCTTGCTGCACGTTAAAAGACCCTCCACGATGTGATGGTCACCCTGTTAAGATGTTGTTGCGACGCTGTCGCTTAGTTGGCAGTGGTGCACAAATAGCAACGACTCAACAATTTCGTCAACAACAACACTGTGGGCTAAAAAGAGAAAAAATATATCATGGGCGACATTTTGGGAAATAGCCCAACTTCATAGCACACAAATCAAATATGCACCTGCGAGTGTAACACGAGTTTGAACTGTTTACAAATTCAGTCTTGATTTGAAGCTTTCGTGACTGCAGGCATCCGTACTCTGGTTCTTTCGATAAAGTCACGTAGATAGAAACATATATAAATGAAACACGACGCTTCGGTCGCAACACAAGCGTCCGTCATCAGGTGAGAAAATGATCTGCTGTTGTGTCGTCTTGGTTTTCGGTTACTAATTCAAGCTCATTGACATGCTATTTTCTCCAGCCCCACCCGTCCCTGCACGCCACAAACCCTCCCCCTTCTGCCGGTGAACTCCTGCAGCCACGACTCGACAAAACTCTCCCCCCTCCCGTACCTATATAAAGCCACAACAGCAGATAATTTTCTCACCTGATGACGGATGCTTGTGTTGCGACCGAAACGTCGTGTTTCTTTTATTCTCTTTTCTATCTACGTGACTTTACCGAAAGAACCAGAGAGTGTGTTTACAAATTGCTCCACAGACTATCTTTATGTATGAGTGAGTGACATGCGGACGTGTGGTGCTGGTGGTGGCACAGGCGTTTGCTGGGAATGTGGATGCTACGTCTGTGGTGGAGAACCGACTGGCAGAGCCTGTGCTGACCCGCTTCGTTAGAATTCGTCCACAAACCTGGGAGGGAGGCATCGCCCTGAGGTTCGAACTGTACGGCTGCAGCCTGGCAGGTGAGCCACCGTCAACACGGCCAAACGTGGCCAGAACCCACTGATACGGACCCCAAGATACTGCTCTTCAGATTGAAGCTATGGCCTCTGTGAACTGTACCCAGCATTGGTTCTGGGATTCAGCAGCTCGGCGACTGTGTTAAATCACTTGTGCCAAATGTGATGTTACATGGCTTCGTGTAAAGTAACTGCAAAAGTGGACAATACACATCCTTGTGTTTGTCTCCATGTATTAAAAAATAGGTATTTTTTTGACATCCCATCAGCCACTCTGCCTTCTGGGAGTGCCTATAAACATCTGGCAATTCAGCAGCATTCATTTAAGAAAGCTTCACTGCTGATGAAGTATTTCATGTTGAAACCGGTCCAGCGGTTGCTTGTACCAATGAAGCTCCTCTTCTTGGTTCTTTCGGTAAAGTCACGTAGAAGGGAAATAATAAAATGATACAAATAAAACATAATAAAATTATTCTCACGACGTTTCGGCCACAACGCAAGCAGCCGTCCTCAGGTGAAGAACAGGTCTGTCGGGAAGACAGCGTCTGAATGAAACACCCCAGGCTTGGAGCGTATATTTAAGCTGGGTTGGAGCGGGAAGAGCGCCTTGACAAAATAATTTGCATATCAAGAGGAATTTTGCATATTATGGGAAATACAGATATGGGAATTCGTTTAGCATTAGAAGAAGCTGTTTGAGTGTTTACTCCAGGGACAGTTGAATTGTTATGATTTTGGAATGGATATTGTTGCAGTAAATCGACAGTTGTGGAGTGAATTAAGAGGAGGCATCTAATAGTGTACGCACGTGGACAGGGAATCCAGTGAGCCAATCGTCTTCTACTGTGGGGGGGGGGGGGGGGGGGAGAGCCGCGTCGAGTTCTCCTGCATGAGGCACTGGTGCACTCTAGTTGCGTTGTCACATAGATCTGCAAGGAGAGTTGGAGACAGTTTCCATTTAAAGTGAGTCTGAGAGGCAGTGAAATAGACAGCGTCGGCATAGTTGAGGGCAGGGAACAACATCTAGACAACCAACTTTTCTGCAGATCAATGGCGGCGCCAGGATTTTCAGGTAGGGGGGAAACCCCCCCAGCAATGAAAAATTATAGAGGAGTTGTTAGTAAGGAGTTGTTAGTAAGTAAGGAGTTGTTAGTAAGTAAGGAGTTGTTAGTAAGCAAGGACTTGTCTCTCGCTTTTTATTCGACGCGTGTGCGGCAATGGCGCATCGATCGAGGGTCGAATTCGAACCGTGTGTGATCGGCATCGCGCTCGCTGAAGGTGAATGCCTTCAGGGAAGTCGTGTGCTGTATACGCAACTGCGCACAATTTTGTGAGTCGCTTAAAACTGTTTTGCCGTTACTTATTGCCAATTATGGACTCAGATTATTGTCCTATCATCGCATAGAGTCCCTGGCACGTAATAATATGCTACACAGTGGCAGTGGGGGTCGTAAAATGCCAATTTATTACTAATAAATCCCAATGATCTGATCGAAATGAGGGATTTCGATCAGATCATTGGGGGGGCACGTGCCACCCCACCCCTACCCGCCCCCCCCACTGGCTCCGCCAGTGCTGCGGACCATCATCGACGTGCAGATCCCATTTCTGTATGCACCAAGTCCATAGTTGGTGTTGTGCATTAGTCTGTCAATGTGGATATTAAAATACATTTTAAAATCAATATATATTTCTGGCTAACGAAATTAACTGACATTTTCGAGAGGTGTATAGTCACGTAGTGAGATTTCAATTAATTTCTTGTGGAGGACAGCCTTTTCTTCTTGCCTAAACTGTAGCCGTTGAGATTTGAAAGAAGTTCTACGTACATAACTTTGGCACCTGTGCCCATTGTCCAGCACCACGACTCTTATTACACGTGTAAATGGAGATCGGCTGTGATGCAAAAGTTAATTGATGTCGCCCTCTGCTGTTTGTGTCTCCACAACGCCACAACGGAGCAGACTTCCCCTGCTTAGAGACGCTGGGCGTGGGGCAGGGCCACGTGCCGGACAACGCTCTCTCGGCCTCGTCACAGTGGAGCCCCCCGTGGGGAGCCCACGCCGCTCGCCTGTTGGCCCCCCAACGAGGCTGGGCTCCGCACATGGCTGGGCTATTCTCATTTGACGAGTGGCTGCAGGTAACGCTTTGAGCACTTGAACACACACCGCACGCGTGCGCGTGACGCAGGGAGACGCCACTGAATGTGACAGCCAGGGGTGGCATGTTCGCTGTCTTTTGCAGCTATTCAAATCTGGCAGGCTGCCTTGATTAATACTGCAGGTGTATTAATAATGGAATTCACCATATAGGGAAACACAGTTAATCGCCACCCCCTATTGCAAACACTTGAGGTTTGGTGAGGCTTTCCTGGGTAAAAAAGAATAGTCATAACAATATTACTACACTTATGTTGTTGTGACTGCTCTTGAATAATGTTCTGAATCTCACAGTAATATATAGTGAGAGAAAGAGCTTTGGTGGCTATGCTGCATGCCTGTAATCCAATAATGTGGAGGCGAGAGTTGGTGGATCAAATTTATTAATTTATATATGTATTCCTTCTGTTCTAGATTTGAAGCTTTCGTGACTGCAAGGATTCATATTCTTAGGTTTTTTCGGTAAAGTCACGTAGGTAAAAAATTAAAACTAATAAAAGTAAAATCAAATAAAAATAAAATTAAAATCACGACGTTTCGGAGGCAACACAAGCTTCCGTCTTCAGGTGGAACCGTCACAGCCCGACAGCTGTATCAAGTAAATGAAAGATTACAAGAGATACCACTCCGTATATATAATGGTTGAGGGGGGGGGGGGCAGGAATGGCCCACTTTTTATTATTATGGTAAGGTGCGGCTTGAGACTATGAATAGACTGCATAACAAAAGACTGAGCCTTTATTATGGAGAGGTTCGGTTTGTGACTACGCCTAGCCTACATAACAAAAGTGTGAAAAAAGAAAGCTAAACCTGGTAGAAAGCTAAACCTGGTAAAACAAAACTGGCTGTCTATCAGTAACCTGTAATAGTTTTCTGTCAAATAAGATGGTCCAAATAAGTGTAGTTAAATCTTTTTTGCATGGTTAATCACATCTTTCCAATGATTACTCAGTTTGTAACCATCATCACGGTTGAAATTATGTCTGTGTTTGTATATTTGTATGGCTTTGTGTACAAACCTTTGATGGTAGCCAGGAGGTTTGCAGAGCACCTTGGTCTCGGAAAAGACAATTTCATGAGAGCCCACAGAGTTGTAGCAATGATCGGCAACGGCCGAAGAATCAGTTCTGCCGTGTTTCAGATCTGACTTGTGCTCGCGGACACGATCAGAAACATGACGTTTCGTTTCTCCAATGTAGCAATCACCACAACTGCAACTCAGTTTGTAGACTCCAGGATACTGTAAGTCAGGAACGACATCCTTCACAGATGGAATCAGATCACGGATTTTATGCACTGTACAGATTCCTAATTGAAACCGGATTCCCACCACCACCCATCTCAAAAGAATTCTCTCATCAAAACGCTATACCACAGAGCTCATGGCATTTCTGACCAACACCACCTGGCCGGTGAATTAAGACATGTACATCGGGCCCTCAGGATGAACGGATACTCTGACCGCACCATCCGCCAAGCTGTTTCTCCCACCATACAGAAACAGCCACATGAAACTCCGACCAAAACTATCACGTTACCATACATAGCAGGTGTGACCAAAAGATCTCCAAAATTCTAAACAAACATAAGATCCAAGTCCGATTCAGTACAGTGCATAAAATCCGTGATCTGATTCCATCTGTGAAGGATGTCGTTCCTGACTTACAGTATCCTGGAGTCTACAAACTGAGTTGCAGTTGTGGTGATTGCTACATTGGAGAAACGAAACGTCATGTTTCTGATTGTGTCCGCGAGCACAAGTCAGATCTGAAACACGGCAGAACTGATTCTTCGGCCGTTGCCGATCATTGCTACAACTCTGTGGGCTCTCATGAAATTGTCTTTTCCGAGACCAAGGTGTTCTGCAAACCTCCTGGCTACCATCAAAGGTTTGTACACGAAGCCATACAAATATACAAACACAGACATCATTTCAACCGTGATGATGGTTACAAACTGAGTAATCATTGGAAAGATGTGATTAACCATGCAAAAAAGATTTAACTACACTTATTTGGACCATCTTATTTGACAGAAAACTATTACAGGTTACTGATAGACAGCCAGTTTTGTTTTACCAGGTTTAGCTTTCTACCAGGTTTAGCTTTCTTTTTTCACACTTTTGTTATGTAGGCTAGGCATAGTCACAAACCGAACCTCTCCATAATAAAGGCTCAGTCTTTTGTTATGCAGTCTATTCATAGTCTCAAGCCGCACCTTACCATAATAATAAAAAGTGGGCCATTCCTGGCCCTTCCCCCCCCCCCTCAACCATTATATATACGGAGTGGTATCTCTTGTAATCTCTCAATTACTTGATACAGCTGTTGGGCTGTGACGGTTCCACCTGAAGACGGAAGATTGTGTTGCCTCCGAAACGTCGTGATTTTTATTTTATTTTTATTTTATTTTACTTTTATTAATGAAATTTTTTTACCTACGTGACTTTACCGATAAAAACCTAAGAATATATATTCCTTCATTACGGGTTTTGAGTGTTACCCCCCCGCACACATGGGCTTTCTCTGGGTACTCCGTTTCCTCCCACATCTATTAACAATTGTTAAAGGAATTGGCTAAACGTCACAAAGTAGGATCACAGAGCTTAGGCAATTGTTGTCGCTGATTCTGGCTATCTTCGCACTTCCCTGTTTTCCCACGTAGGGCTCTGTGCAAAAAACTTGTGACACGTTACAAATCCTGAAGCGTGTTCAAATGGAACTTGAATGAATGATACTTTATTCCATTATTATCTGGAAAATCTGTTTTGCTGTGATATTGCTGTGTTTTTCAGGTGGACTTGGGCAGCCTGTTTACAGTGCGAGGGGTGATTCTTCAGGGAGTGCGTGGGGATCTGGTGAATCGGAGTGGGAATGATGATGCCAGTCAGGGCGCTCAGGACAAGCCGGAGGGCCCCCTGTTTGTGAAGAAATTCCGCATGGGATTCAGCGAAGACGGAGACACCTGGCACATGGTCACAGATGACGAGTCTTCGCAGCCTAAAGTGAGAACCCTAAGCTGCTAATTTGAATATCAATTTGCCGAACTGTGCCTCCTTTCCAGATCTGTTCCTCCACATAAACAAATACGTGTTTTTCTTTTCGACATCCCATCTGCTACACAGCCTTCTGGGAGTAAATGTTTCAGCAGCATTGGTTTGATATAGGCACACTCTGGACAAGTTTTGACAGTAACTCATGAGTTGAGTCAGGCTTACTTAAACCAATGCTGGTGAACTGCCAGACGTTTATAGACAAGGACTCTCTCTGTTAGATATGGGTCTTGTTTCAACGCAATTTATAATAATCAGTGTTCATTGTAGAGCATATTAGTCACAACATATATCAGCAGTCTACATATCCTGTACATATCTGTCCCCACATGAACAAATAAAAGTTGCTTGTATAAAATCAACTTGACTGAAAAACATCACTCCCAGAAGGCCTGGTGGCTGATGGGCAGAGTATTATTTATTTATTTATTAGATGTGGAGGAATGGACATTGAAAAGAGGCATATTTGTCTGCTTATATCTTGATTTGAAGCTTTCGTGACTGCAGGAATCCATACTCTGGTTCTTTCGGTAAAGTCACGTAGGTAGAAAATAAAACAAATATCGACGTTTGGATCGCAGCACAAGCAACGACCGCTTGTGTTGCGATCGAAACGTCGTAATTTGTTTTATTTTATTTCTAACTACGTGACTTTACCGAAAGAACCAAAGAGTATGTCTACTTATATGTTTAGTTTCTTATATTCTGTACGATGACACAAATGCTTATCTTGTACTCATAAGAATGCTGGCTTGTATATTTATGCTCGAGTATTGTGTGCGCATGTCCTGTGTGTGTGTGTGCATTCGCAGATTTTTAATGGTAGCAGCAATGTCGATCTGCCGGAGATGCGCAAGTTCGAGCCCGTGGAGGCGCGGCTGGTGCGTGTGCACCCGGAGCGGTGGTCCCCGCACGGCATCGGCTTGCGTCTCGAGCTGCTGGGCTGCCGGCCTCTTGGTGAGACGTTGGGCCGCACATCCCTACGTGTTTGTGCGCACGCGCGAGTGTGTGGGGAGTGACTTTGCACGGTGGTTAAGTGTGCCGCACTGCAAACTTCCGGTGACCCAGGTGCGATTCCGGCTCACGGCCAACATCAGGGACAAATATCAGAACTGATCCTAGGTCGACTCAGCCTTAAATGAGTACCTGGAGTGGTGAATAAACGTCACTGCTTTGGAGACAAAGGCATCTGGGCATGGTGTTGGCCACACCACCCTCTTGTGGGATGTGTTGGCCTTCATAGAAGCTCGCTAACAGCACTTGCCTCAACAGCCTGATAAGCTCGTGGCGGGGATCTTTGTCTTTGCCACTTCTTTAAGTGGCAGATATTTTTGGTGAGTACTTGGAATGGTGACGACAGCCGTGTAGGTGGGTAAACACTTATTTTTTTCAGAGTATTTTAGGATATGCTGCTGATAAACAGACATTTTACACAAAAAACAAACTGACATTCCTTGACCAGCAACAGATATGTAACGCAGTTTCAAACATATGTTTAGGGAGAGAAACTTCAAGCAGGTTGTGGCCATGAGAAAAAAATATTAAAAAGAGATTGAATGGGGTTTTGGTATTGGTTTGGCGCATAAAATGAGAGTCACTTTCACGTGTGGTTGCGTGTCCTGGAATATGTATTCATCTGTGTTGTGACTAACCCTGTCAGACAATGGTGAGGATGAGGTGGACCCAGGTCAGCCAAAGATAGATGGCCCTCCTGGACTGGAGCCTCCCTACAGCCTTGACAACGACCCAGGTAGGGAGAGGAGGGCGGCACCGGTTAGTGCCGAGTGTCACTGGACCGCACAACACGGCATCGACACCACTATTAGAAAGTGAGCTTGGCAAATTTATTGTTTATTTCACTTGTTTTTCCAGGAATGCCTCACTGAATCTCCAGGATCTTTTTTCAGAAGGGCCCTGCCAAGTTTTCGCAGTTGGGGAAAATAGTAGCTTTGTGGTTATCCCATTCAGTAATTTGCGAGTAACTTTTCAAACTTGGAAAAATCTCAATCATGATGCTGCCACACTGTGATACCGACTGTTCTTCGAATTATGTCGTGGGATTTTTGACGTCCACTGTGAAGTGAACGGTGCAGAGTATTCTATAATTTTAAAAGCCCACTATCATAACCAGGGTAGCCTGCTGGAATCAAGCCAAGAAACTCTGCAACAAGCGGCGAACTCATTGGGCAATGTCATCCCTACACTTGTCTTTGTGCTGTGTGTAGCATTGCAGCTCCTGTGACACACAGTGCATGCGTAATGAACAAATGTGTTTCTTTAGGTACGTTTGATGCTGTGGAGACAATTTCAAATTATACAGGTGAGATGGCCCCTGTGAGTAATGCTGTTTTACTTGTCATTAATGAGTAGCATTATTTATTTCTAACTGACCAAGTGTGACAACTAAAGTCAAAGGTCAAAGTGATTTCCGCTAAATGAGCATTGAGGCGGTTCTCATCTCCTGTTTACTACCCTGAGCCGGTGGTGGCAATTCTACATTCCACTATTGACTCCCCAAAAAGTGGTATTTATCTTATGAACCCCAGAGGGATAATGGGCTGAATCATCCTCGAACCAGGAGTTGAACACGCAACCTTCTGATTGCATGCTGCTCCCTACTGCCGAATCACCTGGCCGGTTTATATAATCGGTGGAGCTACTTGGTGAGTGAATTCGGTGTATCTTTTCCATGGATCTGTTATGTGTATCTGCTCAGTGTATCTGTTCGATGTATCATTGCGGTGTATCTACATGTAAAATCTACTCGGTGTAACTCTTCGGTGTATCTACTTGGCGTTGGATATTGCAGAGTTCCACATCCCAGCAAGGAGTCAAGACGACAGGGAGGATGGTGATGGGGTCATCCTGGAAGGGTGGGGACCTGGCTCAGGGGTCCCCGGATTCAACTGCGAGTTTCATCTGGGCGCGGATGGAGGGATGTGCAGCTGGATTCAAGATGACCAGGCTGACCTTCACTGGCTGCTTGGAGATGCAGAAGTCGAGGGGGAGGAGGAGGAAGAGGACATCCACCATGACAGTAAATGTTATTCTGCTTTAAAACAGATGTAGGAGAGAGATGTATACACACTCACACTTGGAGTGGTTGGCTAGTGCCAGGAGCAGAGCACAGAGCCACCAACAATGACACAAAATAATCCTAAGCTTTGGTTCTTTCGGTAAAGTCACGTAGTTAGCAGACACTATGTCTTCTTGTCATATCTATAAAAGATCAAAGTACAAATCCCATCAACCACATGGCCTTTTAGGAGTGATTTTTTTCCCAGCAGCATTGGTTGAATACAAGTTAACTCTGGACTGGATTCAACATTCATTGTATCATCAGCAGGCAGTCGTACTTCATACTAGTGAACGACCAAATGTTCATAGGCAAGGACCCTATCTGTTTGATGCAAAACTATATAATACACAACACAAACTATTCATTTGTGTCAAGGTTTTTTGAATGAGCATAAAAATACGATTAAACCTTCTAAACAGCATTGTTTTCATAATGCATGCCTCGTGTCTCCTGCAGATAGAGATGGATGCGTGTGGATCAACACCCTGGGAAGGGCTGCGGGTGAGCGAGCACGCCTGCTCAGTGTGCCGCTGCCCTCTCACGCGCAGCCTCGCTGCCTCGCCTTCCGCTACCGCCTGCACGGAGACACGCTGGCCGCCAGCGCCGGAGTGGACTCGCTGCGAGTGCTGACGCGCACGCAGACTCCCATGGGCATGCGGGAGCAGCTGGTGTGGAGCCTGACCGGTGTCCAGGGGCGGGAATGGAGATTGGCACATGCCGTCTTGCCAGTCAACTACGGCCCTTACCAGGTTCTCAACAATCTCTTCACAACAAAAGCAGTGTCATCTGACCTGCCATGGAACGGTCGTTACTAATCTGGCTAAGGGAGCAGACAGCATGGCTGCATGCTGTAGGACTTGGTACACCATCAACCACCCCTCCTACTGTCTCTCTTCCTAAGCTCTTATAACCTCTTGCTTCATTCAAGAAACGTGTTGACTATTTATGTATTACAACTTTGATTGTGTTATTTGGCTGCTTGATGTACTGGGCCTTTGGGGCCTGTGTGTCTTAGTTTATGTATCTATGTGTGTAGCTGTATGTGTCTGTATATATGTCAGTGTATGTGTGGGTACCTAGTGTGTAAACATTGCCACTAGGGAGACAAAGGCGGCTGGGCGTGGTGCTGGTGACCCACCCCCTCGTGTGCCATGCCGGTCTTCATAGGCGCTTGCTCACAGCACTTGCCGCAAGTCTGTTTTTGTATATCTCTGTGCATGTAGTTCCAGATCTTTCTGGAATATCTGGACACATTCCCATCAGTGAGTTCCAGTAGACGAGACTGCGTTGGCTGGGTTATGTAGCCCGCATGCTCATCCACTGTGTGCCCAAGCAGCTTTTGTTTGGCTGGATATAGGGGGCTAACGTGCATGACGCTGTCTAAATAAGAAATGGACTGATGTGGTACAGGAGGATATGGAGTTGAGTGAACTTGCCAAAGGTACCAGCAGTGTCGAAATCAGCCTCGGTAGAGAAGGCTTGTGAAGTAGCTACTAGGCAGTTGGAGGCACTCACCCTTCAACAAAAATGGAGGGCGGAGGGGCGATGCTCACAACAAGGAGCTGAGTGCCAGGCGGCTTAAATTCAGCAAGCTGGCACAGTGGGGAGCACAGTTTGTGCATCTGCCAGTCATCTCAGTCAACTTTTAGCACTTGAGTTTGGCCCATGACCTGCTGCCAGTGAACCTTTGATGCTTCACATGCCCTCAAAGTGCACCTAAAAACTAAACTAAACGTTTTATTTTACCAGGTAAGGCTCACTGAGGTATATAGCTCTTTTTCAGAAGCAATATGGCCACAAATGCTAGCTCAACGAAGTGGCTTATCATGTGGAAATTTATTTCAGCCAAATACTCTAAATGCATATTTCTAAATGTGGAGGGGAAAATCAGAGGATCCAGAAAAAAAATCCACGCAACCACGGGGAGAACATGCAAACTCCGAATAGACAGGCATCAGGGTCAGGATAGAACCCTTCCACCACCCCTTGGATTAGCTTGGTTGTCTACATACACTGCCGAAGAAGTTCAACATAAAACAACCTCCTGTTGTTGTATGTGTTGGGTTATGAAATTTTGATAAAAATAATATTTTAAAAAATAAAAAGGGGGTACATACACAACACTGTATACCGGGTAAGGTCGTTAACATCTCGCCACCGTGGCACCCAGCCTAGAACAAGCGCCATTGTGACGTTACAGCCACTTACTGGCGGCTGTTGTTAAGGCTGTGTTCAGCAACTGTGTTGATAACAAAAACGTTGTGTGCTACTTACAGCTGCATGCCTGGGCCCGAGTATAGAATGCCAGACACGATATTTTAGAAATTACATAAGCTGAGACTTGGCATTGTTATGATGAAGCATTATAAAATTACGAGAGACCTTGGGGGTGGTTTGGACCACTCGTAACTTATATTGTCTACATCAAGAGTTTAAAAGTCAACCGATGATGAATAACAAAATGCACTACATTAATATTAATAGGACGAATAATATTGGTAATATTACCCAGATCCCAGCGGCACACATCCCTACATAACCGCATATTACACCTCACCTCACATCACCTGCACATTGGTGTGCATCACCACATATCACAAATACATCACACACATCCCAACACATCACTGTATGCGGAGGGATGGAAATGGGAAGTAGGCGTTTTTGTCTGTTTATTTATTTATCTATTTATTTATTTGTTTCTTTTATAATCTCCACAACACTGATTGTTCGTTGATGACATGCAGTGAATGTCACGTTGCGTGTGCCAGGTGATTCTGGAGGGGGAGGTGGGGGAGCATCCGTCGGGCAGCGTGGCGGTGGACGACATCCGAATCGCGTTCGAGATACCGATTGAGGACTGCCAAAGTAAAACTCCTTTGTTACACCACAAGCATCCATGACCACATTCATTCATACTTGCACACATTGCAAAAATTAGGCATTTGTTTGAAATTAGTTGAATAAAATAATGATATATGGTCTGTCCTATTTTAATTAACAGAGATATCTGGACAAAGTGGTTAGGTTCGTAAATATAATTATGGTAATTTTTTAAATCTATTTGGAATTTGGTTAAATCCAGCATTGCTACATTTTCCATTCTCAACGACAATGTGTCAAATGTGTAAGGCATGTTTCACTGTCATTCGTGTCTGTGTTGCAGAGCCACACACATCCATCGTGGAGACTGACACTACTTCAGGTAACATTCGGGGTTAGATGTTGATTTGAATTGATCTTCGTGGTAATTTTGGAGAAGACATTCCCAAGAAAAGTGATTACATACAGAACCACATGGAGGGACATTCACATTACAGCCATTGGTGAAAAACATAGGAAAGCATAGGTTAAGAGCTCAGGAGACTTAATTGTGTATGTAACGTGTGTTCAGCCACTCCTCCATACACCACGGGCTTTTGGAGCTGTACATGACCATTAAAAAGATTTAAATGTCATAATTGCCAAAGCTGTTGATATCACAATACCTCTTTGGCACTTTCTACCCGCTGCCAGATCCGAAGGTTTGTTCCACAGGAACAAGACCAATGCCTGCCTCTTTTGACAAACCAGACAGCTCCAGTCCCCAATGTTCAGCATGTGACATAGTAATGTTGTATGTATGCATGTTGAACTTCTTTCGCACTTGACGCAGCCAGCCTTGCTAATCAGAGGTGTGGGGGAAGGACAACAAACTAAACACAAAAAAACTGTTCGAACGAAATTCATTTGCAAGGTTAACTTGCTGCAGCCGATTATTTTACAATGGCGTTTTTCAGATGAAAGTATATTACACGTGCACATTTTTATATATTTTATATTTTCAATGGCTCCTTAGTCCTAATAAACAGTAACATGAATGCATATCACCTCAAAACCACACCAGGTAAGGAAAGTTTTCTCCAGATAGACGTGTTGGGATACGAGCGGCATGGATGTGAGGACCCTTGCGAGGATGCAACGCTACTTCATGCAGCTTTGTCTGCGCACGTGTAGAGAGCTGAGATCCTGGAATAATACATTATAATGGATTTGTGTCTTCTGCCCATGACCATTTATGAAGACAATCACAATAACATAAGACCTGCATATCTAGTTGGCCTAAGATGTTTGAAAATATAATTGTTTCATGAATTAACGAATTGAGTAAAAAGACTGTCCCTGCTCATACAAACCGTGGTCGAAGTTCCTATTCCTATGGTGGGGGCGAGTCTCCATAGGACAATCACTGTTCACTTGCCCACAAAGTGATACTCATTTTATAAACCCAGAGGGATGACAGGCCAAGTCAACCCCTAGGATTTGAACTTGCAAACTTCCGATTGCGAACTGCTCGCTCTACCACTGAGCTAACAAAAGTGGGAATTGTTGTGGAGTCCTTTAATACACGTTAACCATGGATCACGAGGCAGGGGACTGCAATCCACCACTGCCACCTGAACAGGTTTGCTCATTATTTGTGCCCTGCGAGGGGCTAAGCCATTGCTGCGGTCGTTTTCAGGTGACCAGATGCAAACTGAGGGAACGGTACTCCCAGAACTCAGCCTGAACCGAGCCTTGGATCCCATCCTGATCTCGGTGATCGTCGTCAGCACGATGGGCGTGCTCCTGGGCGCCGTGTGCATCGGCCTGCTGCTGTGGTGCGCCCCGGCACGCAGGGCGGCCTCCATCGGCGCGGTCGGGGCGAGGGGCTACAGAGGGGCGCCCGCCGCCACCCTCGATGCATACGCCTTTGAGCTGTGCAATGGAGCCAAGTTTGAAGACAAGTCTAACGGACAGCACAAGTTGTCTTCTGAGGCGTGATGCATTCGATACATCAGCTTCAGAGGTCCTCTCTTTACATTTTCAATTGGAACTCGAATCTAAAGCCAAACCTGATTCATATTATTAAAGAAGATTTGGCAAGAAACTTGCAAAGTACGAAGTTTTACTGTTATGTAGCAAAGGCCAACTCGATGCTTGTTGACCGAATCTAGTCATCTTGTCAAGTGTGATTATGCTTCTGCCATATGCAATTAAAAAAGACAATGTCTTGACAGACTGTCATATTTTGGCATCTAGGGAATCCAAACTGTTAACCTGTGCAACTGGAAACAGATTGTGTCAGCGGTGAAAGAGCGAATTTCCATCTCCAAATCAGACATCGTAGATACTGGGCCACGAAGACAGAGGCTGACACAGTGGTAACTGCCGCGTCGTCGCAAGCAATGACACGTGGCCCTATGTGCATGAAAGTCGTGAATGACCACAAATATTTTTCTCTGTACATTTTTACGTGCCATGCTTTTTGTTTGCATACGTGAACTTTGCGAATGCAACTGTATATATTTAAAGTGAAAATTGGCATGTAATCCATTGTTATTTATAATTTCTGTGTAATTTGTCAAAATAAAGTTTTATAGAAGCAGCATATTAGGTCATTTTGACGATGTATGAAGGATCCTGTTGCACGATATAACTGTCGTCATTCACGCATTACCTTGTAAAATATAAATTTGAGAGTAAAACCTCACAAATCTGGACTCGGGATAGCCAGAATTTGAAGGCAATATAATTAAAAGATGAAATGGCATTTGTGCACTAATTGTGCTGATTCAGAGGAGGAAGTGTACGATGCTCACCCCGACCAATGTGATGCAGTCAATACAGCCGTAGCGCATCAGTATGTATGTTGAACTACTTTCACGCCGTACATAGACAACCGTGCTAAACGGATGTGCGAGGGAAGGACAACAAACTAACCACAAAAATTAGTCCTAACAGTTCAGTGTACCATTGATCAACGCTGTGCATCCACATGCTTAGCTAGGGCTCCCTTGCGCTAATTTTCGTTTTCATTTTTAGTTTGCATTTATTTGGCCAAAAAATGTTTCAAGTCTGTGAAATGCGGCCTGTTTCATGGCTTTAAGAATCGGCCTTCCACCTCTGCTTCATGGTGACTGATTAAACTGGACAGTAAATGTAGTGATTTTGTATATCACATAACTAGTAAGCACTAGTTATGTGATATTTTGCACGTCAGTTATGTGTAAACATAATGAAACTTTAACAATGATGTATTATTTGCAGGTTGCCAGACATCTCCTATAATCGGGAAATATGACCCCCCCCCGAAAGGAGTCCAGCTTTGTGATCCACTACCATGGTCACAAGATGTGATTTTTCTCAATGTAGATGCTAAATTCATATTTGTAATTGATTACAAGCTCATGATAGATTGCCAAGAAAATGAAATATGAATTTGCTACCACATATTTACATAAAGTAGGTATACTATACAGAGGTTGAAATGGGCTGGAACGCCAAGGTGTGAGTGAAATTTTGAACCACACTGCATTCCGCAAGGAATCTTTATTACCTGTAGCACGTGATGTGGGGCACGGCGTGCCGACGTCACTCACTTCTGACTGTGATGTCATACACAGCACCAGCCATGTGAGTTTCCCACCCATGGCTCCAAGCCATACTCTTTGGTTCTTTCGGTAAAGTCACGTAGGTAAAAAATAAATGTTATTTAGAATATATATTTTACCTATGTGACTTTACCGAAAGAACCAAAGAGTATGGATCCTTGCAGTCACGAAAACTTCAAATCTAGAATGGCTCCAAGCCAATCAGTGCCCGGGACTAAAGGCCACTTGGCCATGTGGAGTAGGCGGCGCTTCTAAGCTGCAGCCCGTCAAGAAAGATAAACAGCTATACAACAATACATAGGATAGTATAAATATCGTAATTTGTATAAAGTTTTTGTGTACATATTGTAAGTTTTAGAAACTGTGCAATGCCATAAGTAATCTTAAATTAGTTATGTATAATGTAATGTGTAAGTTATGAGATAGAATAACCAGGTTGATGTATAACATAGTATTAAGAGGTGTAAAGATTTAGTGAAAAACCGCTAATACAATTGAACAAAGTTGTGCAGCAATGTTATAGTTTAGAATTGAGGCCAAACACATGGAGAGTTGCGATAAAAATGTATGTCAACAGATGACCAATTGTAAATTACAGAGTGCATTAGCAATGGCCATTAAACAACGTAACACAAAACATGCTAAAAGTAAGAATTGTAGATACGAGGGTTCTTTATCAGATTAATGAGGGTTCTGTATTGGTTCTTTATGGGTAATGGCCTCATTGAAAGTCTGTATAAGCCCTGTAATATAGAACTGTATCTGGAGGGTCCTCTCAAACGCGGGTATAACATTTTTGCATTGCTCTGCTCACCTTTGATGAGTTCGAATAATTTTCTCCCCATTTCCAGCCCTGACACTATACAAAAGTGTAACTGTACACAGATGTGTTTGTGTGGTTGGCCAAGTTTCTGTCATATTGTATGCATATTTTAAATTAGTCTCTAATGTAATGCAAAATAACTGCTCTTTAATGCTTTAACAAGTCCTTGCCATGAGTGTGATATGTTTGCCTTAAGAAATACCATTTTGCATCCCTCTCGTTTCCCACACTGAATTACAGTATGTTTATTGATGAAGTTAACAGCGGTACAATGATGTTTTAATAAACAGATTCGGTGACATATTTTGTTGAGTCTGTCCTTAGAAGCAGGAACACATGAGGGCGCAGTTTTACGCAAGAATGGGTTCTTATACTAATAGGGGTTTTCCCCTTTTTTCTGGCAACAAAACTGACACCTTTTGCAAGGAATCATGTTTACATTAACCACAATACTTGCAGTCAAAATGCAAACAAAAAACAATACTCTTATAATTTATGCAGTGTCCTTGAAACTAATTGGTCCACACCAAAGACAGCTTTCCTTAGAGCCTCGTCTCATACGGTGTTCGACCAGATGACGCCAAAAGGCGCATGATGTAGATGCTTACCCCGAGCTCTTATTACTTTGATAGCACGTTGTCTTTGAACTGTGCGCCTTTTGGCGTCATGGGGTGAAGCTTGCATTGGCAGCGGTGCACGAACGCAATTAACATCAACAAACCTAATACATTCGTCAAAAACTTGAACCGTTAACAAAGAACAACACATTCAGGCAACGTTTTGGGCAATAGGCCTTCTGTCTAAACCAGCGGCCTGTCACTTCACCAGCGGGGACGACCTTCCGTCCCGAGAGGCCAGTCGGTTCTTGGCCTCGTCCCGTAACCTCTGGTGGTCATAGAGGTAGGAATTGACCTGAACATCTATGCATGCCCTTTAAATAACCTAACCAAAATGGATGCCCGTGAAAATAACTTAACCAACATGAACGTCCAACATGGGCGATCGCTAAATAACTTAACCAACATGGACGCCCGATAAAATACTTAACCAATATAGACGTCCGCTAAATTCCTTCACCAACATGGACGCTAGCTAAAAAACCAATATGGACGCCCGATAAATGACTTAATCAATATGGATCCCTGCTAAATTACTTAACGAACATGGACGCCCGCCTCAATAACCTATATAAAATGGACGCCCGCGAAATAACCTTACCAACATGGACGCTCGCTAAATAACCTGACGTCCACCCCGCCGCCCTCGCTGGGCAGGTGGGGCACGACGTCCGCCCGTTCCGATCCCTCCTCCACCGCATCAGTCGGCTCCTGTTGGGCCCCCACCGACAGTGACGGGGCCCCCCGCGCTAACACCCTCTCTGAAAGACATGTTCGTCGCTAACAAAGAGGCCGCGAGCGATTAACCATCAGCTGCAGGGACCGCACGCTTCCACCTGCATGCGATTAACTGTTAACGCGCACGCCCACGCCCACACCTTGCGCAAACGTGGTAGCGGATGCCGCGATCACCACCCCGCGTTCACTCTCCTGCGCGTTCCCCCACCGCTACCCCGGGACTCAGCTTGCACACGCAGTCGCACACAGAAATCGCAGACACCACACCAACTTAGGTTAGGGGTTAGAGTTAGGGGTTAGAGTTAGGGTTTGGGTTGGGGTAAGAGTTAGGGTTAGTATTCTAATTTAGATTAAAAGTGGGACATTTCATGATGACATTTTCAAGTAAAAAATAGCAAATCTGCACACTAACCTATATATTACGTAAAAAAAGAGTGGGGAATTACATCCACGAAATTTTCGAGGATATAAAAGTTAATTGGCATACTGTGTCGGTTTTAGCCAAAATAAGCCAAATTTTCACAGCTTTATTTTTCAACAAAAGTTGATTACTCCATTCTTATTTACTCTTATTATGCTATGTATTAGATTAAAAGTGGAAAACTTCACGATGGAAAAAAACTGAAAATCGGCATACTAACTTATTACGTTTTTGGCTAAAATTGGCCAAATTTTATAGCTTTATTTTTAAACAAAAAGTGCATTCCTCGGTTGTGTTTTGCCTTAGTATCCGATATATTACATTTAAAGTGGTAAATTTCACCATGAAATTTTCAAGTAAAAAAGATCAAATCGGCATACTAACCTATTACGTTTTTGGCTAAAATTGGCCAAATTTTATAGCTTTATTTTTCAACAAAAGTGCATTCCTCGGTTGTGTTTAGCCTTAGTATCCTATATATTACGTAAAAAAAAGAGTGGGGAATTACATCCACGAAATTTTCGAGGATAAAAAAGTTAATTGGCATACTGTGTCGGTTTTAGCCTAAATAAGCCAAATTTTCACAGCTTTATTTTTCAACAAAAGTTGATTACTCCATTGTATTTACCCTTATTATGCTATGTATTAGATTAAAAGTGGAAAACTTCACGATGGAAAAAAACTGAAAATCGGCATACTAACTTATTACGTTTTTGGCTAAAATTGGCCAAATTTTATAGCTTTATTTTTAAACAAAAAGTGCATTCCTCGGTTGTGTTTTGCCTTAGTATCCGATATATTACATTTAAAGGGGTTAAATTTCACCATGAAATTTTCAAGTAAAAAAGATCAAATCGGCATACTAACCTATTACGTTTTTGTCTAAAATTGGCCAAATTTTATAGCTTTATTTTTCAACAAAAGTGCATTCCTCGGTTGTGTTTAGCCTTAGTATCCTATATATTACGTAAAAAAAGAGTCGGGAATTACATCCACGAAATTTTCGAGGATAAAAAAGTTAATTGGCATATTGTGTCGGTTTTAGCCAAAATAAGCCAAATTTTCACAGCTTTATTTTTCAACAAAAGTTGATTACTCCAT